GATCTGAAACCTAGCAGACATGTTTTCAGTGATATCCTTTTGCTTTGCATATTTTCTAAATGATTGTTTCTGACAGCTTTCCTTGCTTAGCTAAACCTTGTGCAGGACAAGGCGATGTGTCAAAGAGGTGACAACAGACCTTGAATGCAAATCTGTTGTAGTATATGGACACCAGAAAAATTCCAAGCCTTAAACCAGTTTCATTGGAAAACTCCTCAGAACTTTTTAAGATTTTTTACATTTTTCTATAGATTTACTAGGTCTTAATGTGATTTATTATCCAGACCACTTAACTGGGCCTTAGTAAATACTGAACTGTGCACTCCCGTGCTTACTTTCATTATTCCAGCATCCCTTTTCCTGGTGGCTGCCGAGGGGACATGATGCTCTGACACCTCAGGGTGTCCAGCCAGCTCCAAGGGACATTTACCAGACCCGAGGTTTTAGTTGAGCCACTGACCTTTGTTACTGTGCACTGAAACGTAAGAACTGCAATAAGTTACAGTACTTTAGACTAAATCTAGAGACTAATGACAGTGGAAGCTTACCTGAGTTCTTTTGACATGGGGGGTGGGGATGGGGAAATGTCCCTAATCAGTGTTGCCTCTGGGTTGGGGGGTGTGGGGTTTTTTATTGATTGTATCACTCCATCTTCTCTTGACTATTGACCACTGGGCAGGCGCATATCTCCAAAAGCACAGTCCTTCAAGGAATTCATCAACACAATAGTCTCCTACAGCTCACTTTTCCAAAGGGATTTAAGAGCTAGGACTGGCTCTTGTCACAATTGTCAGCATTTATTTTTTTAGCATAGGATTTGTTCTGTTTCAGATAGTAAACTAAAGCTATTGAACATGTGCTACGTCCCAGTGCAGAGCATGGCTGTCCTCGCCAGCTGAGATAACTGAGCAGCGCACACAAATTTAACTGTGCCAGCTTGCATCTTATCTTCCTTTTCCCTCCTCCAGTTACTTCAATTATCAAAATGATTCTAGTCTCATGTTTAGTCTGTGATGTGTCAGTATAAAATTATGGCCTTAATCATGTAAAAATATTTCTTTTGAGCAGACCTCAAGCTTATTGACCAAGTACAAAACAGTATGAAGCGCTACGGAGCAGTTTCTTGAAGGTGGTTACAGAAAAGGTTCTGAATGCCTAATTTCTCATGTCTTAAGTGCTTAAATGTCTCTTCTTGTGAGATCTAGATATGCCTAGCAAGATGATGTAGTAAAGCACTATGATCCAAAGACACAGAAGTATTTTAAATACACAGTAGTAACAGGAGGAGCAACCTTTAGAGGGAAAAAAATTAAATTCTCTACTAAGATAATAATTGTATTCAGAATTTTAGGTAAATAACAAAATCTGGCTGTTTTTTCTATACATTCTTTGTTACTATTGTGAAAGAGATGGAAAATGTAAAATTAGCCATTTTCCTCTCTGTAAGGTAAAAATTGGAATTTGTGCAGTAATTATGAGTAGGACAAGTCCTTTTGTCTGACAGGCTTGCATGTGTGAGCTGGGAGTGTGTGCTTAGTGCTTCACTGTGTCTTACCCCTTGTTAAGATGTATTGGCACTACAGTCTGAAATGGACTTTTCATAAAGAGTTGATCCAGTGTGAGATTGCAACACCATGTTTGCATTATCCTCCAGCTGTCACTCTGATTTCTGCCTGGCAAATGTACTTCAGGACAACTCATAGCAAAGGTTTAATTCAGGCTGTGCTTAGAAAATAGGACTCTGTTAAATGAAAATAAGCTATGTAGTGAATGCCAAAGTAAGAGGAAGGGATTATAACTTAGAGAAGAGACACAAATATTGGTGGAGATGGAATTTACCACGAGTGGTCAACCTAAATACATTAACTGTTCCTAGTATCTGACCTGTGACACATCTGCATAAACTTAAAACACTGGTGTTGTCTAGTATGTGGTTTCCAAGTTCTGGCTTCAATATGTTCAGGTCCCCTTGTCTTACTTTAAGTAGGTGAATGCTGTCTGTTAATGTTACTAACTAAAATGTACTATAGCTTTTCTTCAGGGAAAACTCAGAAACTGAGTTGCAAATTAGAGCAATGCAAAGTGATCCCCTCGGGCAGGTGTCTGCTCTGACCCCTGCCGGGCCTGGGGAGGGGGGCCTGGGCTCTCCCGCTCTGCTCAGAGCTGAGCATCACAAGGAATCTCTGCCACTGTGCTTGACTAACCCGTGTTTGCAACTTTGCTGTGCTTTTTACAGGAGAAACCAGTAGTGAAAGCTAATAAATTCAGCCACACCAAGTCAGAGTACATCTACAGCATAGGCGTGCAAACTTTTTTAGGTGAAGTTTCCAGTTCAATTACTGAAAATGACTACTATGGTTTTACAAAGTAAAACTGCAGTATCTTTAAAAAAGGGACTCTTTTGTAGGTGTTTTTGTCTTGTGTGGGTATCCGTCTCAAACTGAATGTGGGGTTTGTTTGTAAGTAAATTCAGAGTATAGCCAATGTGAGCAAAACCAACAGCTGTATTCTGCTGCCCTCTGTTTGGACCATATTGTTTAATCAGTGGTGTTACCTTAAACTTTTAAGGGTATCTGATGTAATTACATTATAATGGTTTACAATAAAGTCTGACTTATTACAGATTTGTACACTTGTTTTATACTTGTTCTGTTTCAAAGTGCCTGTGTTTCAGTGTCTGTGGTGTCCTCTCCTGGGAAGCAGATTCTGCTACTTGAGTTTAACTTCAGCTCTAATTGTGCATCCTGTTGATTTTAATTTCAGTATATTTATTTATGTTAATGGCAAGTCCCATTTGATTGGGAAGAGCCATTGTTCTTAAGTTGCAAATTTTGTTTACAAGTTTAAGAATCCTTGCAGGCTCCTCTCAGATCCATTTCCTGAGGAAGGCTTTTTTAGGAACTGAACAGGATGGACCCAACTCTGCCTCTGTAACTCCTCTGTGACATTTCCCTACTATTTTCATACTTTCCACGTGCCACATCCAAGCAGCCCCACACCCACTGCACCCATTCAGGGAATTCAGAGTACAATCTTCACTCTACCTAAAGTGTCAGCCCCCTGAGAGGTTGTTAGCACTTTCCTGGAGAATTCAAATCTTCCCTGACATTTGGAGACCACAGTGGCAGCCATGTGTACATTCACTTAATTCTCTATGGTCATTGCCATATTTTAGTTGGAACCATTCCTCCAGGAAAGGAGTTTTCCACAATTCCTATTGCAGTGGAAGATTACAGCTTGTATTTTTAATAGCTACTGTTGGATAAATGAGCCATCTTTTTCCATTGCCATTCATGTCCCATGTAGCAGATATCAAGGACCTCAACCAGGTGAACAGGATTTCTACTCTAAAAATTAAGTAACTGTTGATTTAGGCTGGGTTCTTTGTGAGGAAAAATAGTCCATAATCTATGCAAGAATATGTTTGTGCTGGTTTAGAAAATGGAATTGAAGAGAACAGAACTCTCCAGGCTTTGGGGATGTTCTAGAAACCCCAGGATGTGCTGCCTGCCTCTCTAAGCACTTCACCTGCCCCAAATGGCAAGCAGGGTATGAGTGGTTTGATTTTGTTTGTATAGATTAAATTGCTATGAAAGCACAACTCTGTTGCTTTTGAGTGAGGAATATGCAGTACCAATTAAGTGAACCAATTTTGAAAGCTGAAGGGAAAATAATAGTTCAGTGTCCTGAATTCTAAATATTTGCTTTAAACACGCAGAATGTTATTTTGCTGTCATAATAGAATAGTGACGCTTGTGGGGCTGTAGAGAAACGTCTTAGTAGAGAACTCTTGCTTTGTACAATAGAAAAAAAATCTGTTTTTTCTAAGGTCAATGTTTTATTTTTCTCTTTTGTTGGCCTACTAAGGGCACTGCTGCTCTGCAGAAATGCTTCCTCTGGTTACTAAGACATGGGTTTAAAATAGAAAATCAAGCTAGGGAATAGCTAAGGGCGTAACATCCAAGCTGCATTTTAGCCTACAAATAATTCCCCCAATAAAGGAGAAGATCTCAGGCCTGGAAAGAGTTCAGCTTAAAGGCAGTTTGGGCATTGGGAGGCCTGGGCAATAGTTCATAGCCAACAGATCCCACAGTCCTGCTCGTACAGCACTGGAGCTGTGGTTTGATGTCATTTTCATAGTAAAAAACAAATTTTTGTTACTCTTGTGCTTCTCTGTACCCTAAAAGCACTGGCAGAGCCTGAGGAAAGGCTAGGGCAGATTTCTACCACTACAGCAGTTGATCTCTCTAGTGGAAGGTGTTTGGAGGTCTGCTATACCTGCCCTTCTCACATTAACCCACCTGGCTGGAGTCTTGGTTCTTTGTAGGTGTTGAGTGCAGTCACAGAAGCTGATTTTTTTTGATTTATGTAAAGATTTCATATAAAAAACCAAAAGGGAAGCATTCTCCTACTCAAACCTCTCCCAGTATTGAAAAATAGAACTCATGCTCAGAGATGGCAGGGCTTTACTTAATTAAAAAATTGTTTAGAGAACAAATATTAAAAGTTCTGAGAAAGGGTTTCCTGCTGTCAGCAAGTACAGTGGGGAACACCGAGTTTATCCGTGTCTGAGTAAGCTATTCCTGTACAGATGTGGGTGAAATGGTTAAACTTGCTGATAGTGCTGGAAGTAGAAGGTGATTTTACTCTCTCAGTTGTGTAAGAGCCAGCACTGGAGCACGATCAGAGATAGAGCTGTAAGGGTAAAACCATACCTACTTTATTAGCTCTCCAAAAGACATGAAACACTCTCCTGTTAAAGATCCCTGTGCTCGAGTGATTCAGGGCACAGCTATGCTTTGGACTTCAGGTTTGTATCATCTTTAGAGAACACATATTTTGGTTATGCTGGGAAAGCAATGCCCACTCTTTTTTTTCCCCTCCCTCCCCCAAGAGAGTTCAGAGTCAATTTTGTGTCCATAACAAGATTTTGCCTTTTAAAGCTATAAATAGATCCCCAGCGGACTCCCCGGGAAGATTTTTGGCGGGACCCGGGTTCCCCGCTGCCGCAGCTGCCCCCGTCAGCCCGGCCCGGTGAATGCTGCACGCCCGAGTCATCGCCAGGAATAAACCTCGGACAACAACAGCCTGCCCGACCCGAATCATCCCGCGCTGCTGCGGGAACATGAGCCAGCCCCTGACTTCACTCGGATGCTCTATATAAGTTCAGGAAAACAACAGGCGCTCGCAGAGCTCACGGGCTGGATTTAATCAACGTCGGGAACGACCTGGGAGGGATTTCAGCGAGAGAGCACCGCAGTTATGTCACAGGTACGGGGACATCTGTGCGCTGCCAGCCCTCGGAGCAGCGCCTGGCAAACCTGCTGCTGGTTTGGATGCTGTGCTTGGAAAAGCTTATTAGCGAGTTCCTCCCATTAGCCAGTGAATTCAGCTTTACTGCTCTGTGACTTGTGTGATTAAAATATTTTAACAAGTGCTTACTTAGGAAGGAAAGCAGCTGCTCTCTACGTGGTTAATTAATTTAGCTTTAAAATGTTCTGGTTTACCTTAAATATTTTTATTTGTGTAGAAAGGGGAAAATCCTTTCCCCTGCCCTGCGTTGGGATGTTTCACAGATGGAGGAATCTCTGCCTTTCTAACACACTTTCTCAGACAGTGATTCTGAAATTCTGTTTTGCAAAGAGGTGGCTGTGCTGAAATGTCAGTATGTAAAGCTTAGTGCATTAACATGCAGGAGAAAAGAGTGGGACTGAAAATTCTAACTGTTAGGATAAGATATTTGAGACTGAAATTTTGTTTAAAATGAATACTTTTATATTAATTTTATAAGTAATAGTTTGTCTGTAATGCATGCCCCAATAATCAGTGTTTCGAAGTGCTCTTGAAACGAGCTCAGAAATGGTGAGGTTTCAGGTAAATGTTACATTTGCATCACAAGCTGTGTGTGCCTGGCAGAGCTCTCCTCAGCATGAGTTTTACAGGAGTGGTGTGATGGAGAGTAGGAGCACAGAGAGAGTAGGAGAGCACAGTTCTTCAGCCATAGAGAGTAACTTAGTTCAGCTGATTTTCTTTACTCCAAAGAAAATCGTACTTAAAACCCAGTTGTATGTCTTGTAAAGTAGCACTTTCTGTCTTGTGACAGGAGGAGATAAAGCACAGGCTCCACTCCCGTGCCAGGAATGGCTCCTGGCAACCTCTGCTCAGAAATTCTGGCAGCAGTTAGCAGTGGTGGGGCTGTGGCAGTGGCAGCTGCTGGCCAGGGCTCACCGTAACCTCTCTGTGCACCAGCTTTGCTCTTCAGCTGAGACCGACTAATCCACAGCAACTGTCCTGCTGGAAAATCCTCTGCGATCGAAGCATGAGACGGTTTATTTTAAAATAACTGGGTGACATTCAAGAGCTCTGGTCAGCCTGGCTGTATCTTTGTGCATGCCAAGAGCCACCTTTCCTCACCCTGTCCCCAGGAATTCCCTTGTCCCAGTGGGTAGAAGCCTCACAGTTAGTGTCTGTTACCAATAATGGGTGAAGGATCTTTGCAGATTTCACATTGCTCTTAAAGCAAGGGGCTTTTTCCCTTCCTGGGTTGGCTGCCTGTGGAGCGTGCCATGGGCATGAGGGACTGTTCCCATCATGTGCCAGTTGTCATTCCAGAAGGACAGGTGACTCCTGGCTGTGGGGATGTTTGGTTCACCAGCTGAACAACCATGCACGAGGTGTTGTGAATTTTAAAGGGTTTGCTGACACCCTTTCCCCTCGCTTGCTTTGGCTACTCATGAGTGTTTTCCCCAGAGATCTCATAAATGTTTTGTTTCCCACAACACATGTGAGTGGCATTGACAGTGAGCTATTCTGAGCGTTCCCAGGAATTTGCAGCAGGCAGAAGTCGTGCTGAAGGCTCCAGTGGAGCCAGCCCACCCATCCAGGAGCCAGCCATGCAGGCACTGTCTCTGCAGGCTCCCTGGAACTTGCTGCTCCAGCCATCTGTAGGCCTTGAGGGATTTGTTTCCCTCCACAACTGCTTTTAGCCTCACAGACAGTGCCTGAGTGGCTCCACCAGTGCCAGAACCCAAATACCAGAAGCCCTGTGTATGTAGTGATGGTCAGAGAAGTTTGTTGTTGATCTTTCAGTGTGCAAATCTATTAGAGTTCGAGTGTGGGGGTCTTCTATTCCTCTCAATCATATCCCTGTGCCCCTGAATCTTGCCATGAGGGCTGCCTGGTGGGACATTGAAAATCCATCCATGAAATAATAAACTGATGGAGGAATGCTTATGGTGTTGGCTGCTGCAGAGTGGGGTTGTGTCTGACTGGGCAGTAATTTAAAGATGGGGTAGGCTGATGAAGCAATGTTATCCCTGTTTCCTTGTAGTGGAATAAACTGTGAACAGATTAGTACTTGGCTTTAGCAGTGCACTGCCTGATGATGCATCTGTTTCTGTATTAGGTTTCCTTCTCCTTCTTTGGGTTCCAAGTCCAGGGCTTCAGATGTGTTCAGTAGAGAGCCCTGTTGAGTGCTCAGATCCTTTTGTTCCTTAAATTTAAGATGATCAACCATGGGTCGTGTTTATTTGAACTTAAGCCAAGTCCAGATTTGGAATCTCTCTGACCAGTTTCCCAAAGAATTAGTAAGTAGACACAAGCCAAATTTAGTAATTAAGTGATTTTTCCTTTCCAAATATTGGACAAGTTCTTGAATTACCAATCAGTACTTGCAGAATAAACAGGTACGGGTGGACAGAGAAAATCTAAGATTTTTTTTTTTAATTAAGTTGCTCTTTCATTGCTCTTTCAAAGGCTGTACAATAAAAAGACAATTTCAGAGCAGTAAGAATGGTAGCTGATTTTGGGAAGGGCAGTGAAATTGTGATTATGGGAAGATCTGAAATAGTTGAGTATGTAATTTCAGAACTGAAATAGGTGAAATGTTGTGTTAGCAACTCTGTATGTTATAGCCTTTGGGTGGAGGCAGCTTTGTTCCCTGTGCTTTGAAAACAAAATACTGATGTGTGGGTCTGTTTCTTAGCCAGCCCCTGTGAAAAAGAAGCGTCCTCCAGTGAAGGAAGAAGACCTCAAAGGAGCCAGAGGAAACCTTGCCAAAAACCAGGAAATTAAATCTAAAACCTACCAAGTGATGAGGCAGTGTGGTAAGTCTCCTCGACTGTAAGCAATTAAGCAGAGTAAAACATTGACTTAATTGCCCTTTTCAAGTAAAAGGGTTCCTCATCTGGTGGACAAGTGAAGTATTTATCAAATGTATATATGTATTTCAGCAGCACTAATTTGACTCCCTTGAATTCAGGTGGTATTTCACTGATTGTCTCTCCTGGTTTTCTTTTCTAAGAACAAATGGGCTCCGCAGCACCTTCCGTATTCAGCGGGGCTCGGACAGGGGGTGAAACAGTCTTTGAGAAACCGAAGGATGAGCCAGCCAAGAGCGTCTTTGGCTGACGGTGGAGCTGGACGTGACTCACCAAAATGATTGTTGTGACATTTTTCAAAATTTCTGTTCCTTGCACTAAAGTCACTGTAGACTGAAGTAGCTAATTTCTACTGTAAGTCCTTAAGTAGTGAATATACTCATGTCAAAGAGTAAAATTCCATGTTCATTTTTATTACATGCTTTCTTTCTATATATTGGATAATGTTTGCTATAATTGTTTAATAAAAAAGGTTGTTGGACTCAGCTTGGCACACTGTGGTGACTCATTTCACTTGGGGCTCAGATTAATTCCGTGGGCACTTTAGCACTACAGGCGATGGTTTTGTCTGTCAAATGCAAGGAAAAAATACCCCGATGACACAGTATCAGTGTAATTTCTTCACACCAGGGGATCTGTGGAGGAGCTGATCAAAGGGGCAGCACAGAAACCTGGAGACTTCGCCCAGATCTGTGTTGCTTACAGCGGCACCTTGGCGAGGGCCCTCAGGGTGGCGGCATGGCACAGGCTGGTGGCTCTCCCCTCCCGGCTTCCCCTCACGGCGCTCCCCACAGTTCCCCTCATGGCTCTTCCCTCACGGCTTCCCCTCACGGCGCTCCTCACAATTCCCCTCACGGCTTCCCCTCACGGCGCTCCCCTCGCAGTTCCCGCTCATGGCTCTCCCTTCACAGCTTCCACCTCACGGCTCTCCCCCTACAGTTCCCGCTCATGGCTCTCCCCTCACGGCTCTTTCCTCACAGTTGCCCTCGCGGTTTGCCGCTCATGACTCTCCCCTCACAGTTTCCCTCACAGTTCTCCCCCATATCTCTCCCCTCACACCCTTCCGGGCAGCAATGCCATGATTTCCCTTCATGCAGCTCAGCTGTGATGACAGAGGGCCGGCTCTCAGAGTGTCCCAGCATCGAGGGAAGGATTTCAGCTCATTCCCCAGTGGCTTTTTCCTCCTGTCCCATTGGATCTAAGGAGAAGTGGAGTGCCAGACCCAGCCGCCATGTCCTGCCTTACCGTGGACATGAGAACCCAATGAGTGTCTCTGTACAACACCAGCACACTCTGAGGGGGAGCTGGCTTTTTTTCAATGCTGTTTGCTTCTTAATTTACTGCATTAAACACCAGACCTGTTTTCTCCCAAACCCCAGAGTGTTTCCTTTCAGCTGGATATTTGTGCAAAAACACAGAGGAACCTCTGTGGGCGCCTGCCATGCTTCCCACACACCCTGGGTCTCTGCAGTCTGGGGATGGTAAGTCAGATGCCACCTTAGTTAAATAAACTACTTTTATTTTACACAGACTAGACATGATTAAGAAGTAAAAGTGATGCCAAAGTTCTCTGCATATATGCATATATGAAATGCATCATATTTGGCATTTGTGTCCTAAACACCTGACAGATAAAATTTGACAATGCCCACACAGATCCCAGAGAGGCTGTGGAGAGGAGCTCACTTAAGGCAGCAGCAAATCCTTTGGCTTTAAGGGGAAAGTTTCTTTAATTATATTCCTGGTGCATTGCCTTGCCCTGCTTTTTTCGCTTTAAAAGATTATTATTTGCAGCCCAGGCCCCACCTCCTCGCTTTAGTGGGCACAATTTCTCCATGGAGCACAGGCTCCTCACAGGTATGTACCTGTGGCAGAGCCTTTTTCCAAGAAAGATCCCTCTAGAGCATGAAAAAAGTCACAGTGGAAAAAATTCCTGCCCTGATAATACTGGAGGTGCCTTTGCATTGGGTTCAACAAGCCCTCCTTAATTAACCTGTGTTGAGAAGGTGGAAGGAGATTGTTCAATAGTTATAGAAATGGTGGCAAGGGGCAAGTAGGGCAAAATGCTGTCACTTTCCTTATTGCAGGTTTGCAGGTGGGGTAGCAGGACAGGGAGGTGCTGTATTTCAGACCCTGCTTTGGAGATGGTGGTGCTGATTTAATAAAGCACAGAAACCTCTGTGTCCCACATGGATTCTACAGGGAAGCCAAGTTAAGGTGTCTGCCAGAAAAGTGGGATTTGGTAAACAGCTCTATTTCCAGGATGTTGTCACGTCCATTTACTTGTGCTGCTTCCAAGCGTGACAATAAGGACAGGACATTGTTTTTGGTCTTCCTGTCTTTTAATGTGGACCTCATCTAAAAAATGTGAGGGGCAGAGCTGATGCTGCAGCCTAAATCTGTGCAGCAAAAGCAGCTCTTTAACATCTGTGTGATCTTACACATGAGCATTCGAAAACTGATGATAGATCCACTTAATTAAAGCTTTGGCTCTTGCAGCTCTTAGGCTACTAAGTGTCTAATCCTGTGTATTTTAAGGGATTAAAGCATTACATGAGTTGTACAAGTTAATAGAATGTATTGCAGTTTAATTTTTTGTCCTTTAAAAGATATATATTTACATGTCCTGCCATAAAGGATGTGGTATTTGCAAGTAGTATAAACAGTCTGCCTGAAAGGAGTAAGTTTATTTTTTTAAAAGTTACTTAAAGCACAAAGCTTGTAAGACCAGACTGTGCTTAGCACATTCTTTGTAGTGAACTTGTAGATGTCTGGTAAGTAATAAATTACTGAGCTGTGCTTTATTGTTTCCTTGCAACTCTGAGACCACTAGAAACTTGCTCTCCACGTGGAAACTTTGGAAAACAGGCATGAAGAAAAGACAGATGCTTCTATTTCCACAGGATCTTTGTGTTAATTTATGACAATGAATGGCATTACCTACCAAGGATCATGGCCAGTTGGGCAGGGAGGCACAAAGGTTGAGAAAGTCATCAGCTGTAATATCTCATGTGAATGCTGCCCGCCCTGGCAATCTCCAAATCTCTGAAGTGCTTGTGATAATGTTAAGGATGTGCCCTTTCCAATTATTACTGTGGAATATGGTAGAGATTCCTGCAGCTTCTTGCACAGACCAAGTCATCTGCCCAAGGGATTTCATGTGACACAGTGAAATCTAATTTTTTTTTAAAATATAGAAATTTCCTAATTGTATGTGTTATGAAACATTAAAATTCTAATGTTTAAGAGCAAAGATCTGTTGGAAAAATAAGCATTAACCAAGTCCAAGTTTTACCTATGTTTAATGGGTAAATATTACATTTCTGTGTCTCTTCAAAGCCTACATGATATCCCCAAGTACATGTTACTCATTAACTGATTAAGATAAATAGAGATTTCATTTGAAATTTTGGTTTTTTCCAAAATGGAGCAGAGAACATTGCTTGCATTGATGGTCTTTTCCTCACTCATAGTGTTAGCAGAAACTAATGATCAGAAGGTATTTGCTCTATTTTTATTATCAATATCTCATTTGCTCATTTGGTGATGCGGTCGTATCTTGGTCACTGGCCAGGCATTGCAGGTAACTCCTCTGGTAACCACCTCCCAGGGAGACTTGGGTGGGTTGTATTGAGATTTTAGAGCTTTGGGTCCTTTTAAGGTCATTTTGATGGTTTGTTCAGGTTGTTGTAGTACAAATGTAGCAGGAGGTGCTTGTAGATGTGTTTGATGATTCTCTTCCTTCGGAATGTAAGATACCAAATTTGAGAGATCAGTAACTCTGCTTTGGCTCCTGGATGAGGTTTGGATCTTGACACAGGACCTAACAAGCACTAAGCAGTGCCAGGAGGTTTCTGAGAAGTGTTTAATAAAAAATATGGAATGGAAAAGTGGGAAGTGGAAAGTTATTTGCACTGGCTGGAGGGGCAAACTCTCTTTTGTACCATCACAGTGGTGACTGGTGGCATTGTAAAAGCATCAATATTAGAGAGGAAAAGGAAGCTTTAAGTCAGAAGATTTCTCTGTCCATTGTGCCTATTTAGAAGAGAGTGAAGTGGAACTGAACTGCAGGTGTTGGGGGTCAGGGCCAGGCCTGGTGGCTGCTTCAGGGGCAGCTGAGAGCTCTGCAGGAAGCCATGGATGGGGTGTGTGGGCCCACAGTGCCTCTGCCTGTGGGTACATGCCTGGGGCTGGTCCTCTCTGCTTCCTTTCCCTCTCTGCACAGCAAAGCTCCTCCCCACGCTGCATCCCACTGACCCCTGGGTTGTGCTGCCCACAGCCTAAAGTGCAGGAGATGCAGGTCCTGCTCCCTGCAGCATCCCTTGGGCACGTGGCAGCAGAGTAGATTCTGCACTGGGTAAATTTTGCACAGACAAACCACAGCTTGGGGCTTGGTGTTCCTGATGGAAAACCTCACCCTGAACGTGCCATGGGCAGGTTTGAGTATGGCAGGGCAGCCAAGTCTTGCATTTCAGCCAGTGTCCTAATGGAGAAGAAGCCACTGGATGCTATTAATTGGCAAGCAAAGTACAGGAGATTAATTATCAAAATAGCTAAAGATAATTAGCCATTCAAAAGACTTGGAGGCTAGAAAAGTAAAAATAGAAGTGCAAGGATATTCTCTGTCCCTGGGTTTTTGTATTTTGATCATCTATTGGACTGTTGTGAGGCTGGTGATGCCCAGATCAGTCTTGCCACTGCTGGAACATGGGTAGGGCCTTTAGAGAGACATCCCAAATGCAAAAGGAGGTGTACATGTAGGCAGGTGCTCCAGGCAGTTCTCAGTCCAGCCACCCTCTGGGGTGCTCCAGGCAGCTCTAGAATGGTGCCCTCCCCCTTTGGCCATCAGGGGAAGAACCAGACCAGGAGAAACCTGAGTGCTCAAAGGGCATTTCAGCTTGTGTAACCAGTGAGGGGTTGGGAGGGCCATGCAAGGTTTCAAGCCTGCTAAACATCCTGTGGGACACAAGATACCAAGCTGGAAAACAGGAAGCAAAGTCAATAGCTGGGAGAGCAAATAAACAGTTGCACAAAAAACAGAGACCTTCCCTGGGTCAGGCTTAAAGGGGCTTCTGATCTTCCTGAGGAAAATCTTGGGCAATGTATGGGGTGATGCAGCAGCAGCTTCACTGTACCCCAAGAAGAGAAAAAGGTTCAACAGAAGCTTCTGTGGAACAGCAAAATACAGATGTTGCTGCAGGCTTTGCATGGGACAGTGGCTGTGGCTGCAGAGAAGGGAATAAGCAGACTGGTTCAGAGCAATCCCCTCCCCAGTTCCAGCCAGGCTTTCTAACAGGTCATTTCTTCATCAGACTTTTCCAACAGCATCATCCAGGTTAGGATGGCCTAGGACCAAAACCTGCGTGTTTCTGTCTCAGTCTGTTTATTTTTTCCAGCCTGCTGTTGAAATATACAGCCTCCATGTGGACTGCAAGGTCACATCACGATTTGCTCACACTGTCATCACCAGCAGAATTGTCAACCGAGCCAATGAGTCCCGAGAGGCCACCTTTGAAGTGGAGTTACCCAAGACAGCCTTCATCACCAACTTCTCCATGTAGGACAGTCCTCACCTGCAGTGTAAAGGAGGCAGCTCTGAGGGGGGTTCATTTTCTGCTCAAAGAAGGAGCACAAAGAGGGTCCTCTGAGAAAGTGCTTTGTGGGGCTAAGTAGTAAGCAGCCAAATAGAAAAGAGGTGCCCAGGGCCAGGCTGCCTGCTGCATAGTGATAGATGTGCTCAGTGGTGGTGTTTCTCCTGCTCCAGCCTCCTCAAGACTCTGCAAGGACAAGGACTGTTTTGTGGTGGTGGCTCCTGGCATCCTTCTGGGTAGGGAGGGATTAGGGAGCCAGCATCCCTTGCTCATGCCCAGAGAGCCACAAAAAACTTCTGTTGAGTTTCTTTCCCCAGTGTATTCCTTCTAATATGAATTAATTTTCATGGAAACCAAACAGGTCCATTGATGGTGAAGTATACCCAGGAATAATAAAGGAGAAAGCTGCTGCTCAAAACGAGTATGACTCGGCAGTCTCACAAGGACAGAGCGCTGGCCTCGTCAAGTACGTTGTTATTCTGAGTAAGGCAGCCCCAACACCCCTCCTTGGCTTCCTGTTTGGCTGGGGGCAGATATCTCCTGGAGATAGCCTCATCCTAGTGGGGACAAATCAGTGAAATTCAGTCTTGGGTTCTTGGTAAGAGGGACAGTGTATCTTTGTGTGTGTGTATATGCATATAGATGTATTTTTAGCATATATATAAATTCATATAAATGTGATGTATAGGTGGTCCTGCAATGGGCTCCATTGAAGCATCCCTGTTTAGCAGTGCCTTGGGACTTGCTGTCACAGAATCACTGAATCACAGATCACAGAATGTTCTTGAAAGGTATCTACAAGGATCACAAAGTCCAACTCTTCAGTGAATGGTCCATAGAGGGATTGAACTGACAGCCATGGTGTTACTAGCACTGTGCTCTGATCAATTGAGCTAATCTCAGGGTCAAAGGTCCTTAAAGATTATCTAGTTCCAAGCTCCTTGGGACACCTTTCAGGTTGCTCAGAGCTCCATCCAGCCTTGGTCACTGTCATTCAAGAGCACTTGCTATGCTGGAATGATGCTCAATGCTGAGTCTGCCTCCTTGCAGGAACAGAGGACCATTGCATTCGAACAGATATCACAGTTTCAGGGTATATTTAATATGTGCTTCACAGGTATTCACTCTGACACATGCAGGGGTTTCTGCTCCATTTCTCAGCTTGCACCCATGACATGTTAATGTAATGTTCAATATGTGATGTGCATAATAACACCTGCAATGTAAAAAATCCTCTCTATGATGAAAAATATTTACTGCTACTCTTTTTTTTTTTTTTATTTATCCCATGTGGCCCCTTGGAGGGGCCACAATAAAAGTGTGCAAATTATTTCAGACTGCAGCCACCACAAGGAGGTAAATCACTGGTTTTCCCCCCAGAATTACAGACAGAAAGCTGGAGCAGTTCCACGTGTCCGTGAGCATCGCGGCTGCCAGCAAAGTCACCTTTGAGCTGACCTACGAGGAGCTGCTGAAGCGGCAGCTGGGAAAGTACGAGCTGCTCATCAAGGTCCGGCCCAAGCAGCTCGTTAAGCACTTCCAGGTGAGCTGTCCTGGGGAGGGCTGGGCAGGGAGCGCTGCCGTGGATTTTAGCACAGCCGTGTTCCCTCTGAGAGCTGATGTTCACTTCCCTGCTGTCAGATCGACGTGCACATCTTCGAGCCCCAGGGCATTCACTTCTTGGAGACGGACAGCACATTCATGACAAACGAGTTAACTGAGGCACTCACCAAAGAGCAGAACGAAACCAAGGTAAAGCAGCAGCTGCCAGAGGTTACTGCCAGGGGCTGCTCTAAGTTATATTGCTTTAGAGATTTCTTTCTGATTGCTTTGCAGGCTCATATTTTATTTAAGCCAACTCTAGAGCAACAGAAGAAAAATTCTGAACGTGATGAAACACTCCTCAATGGTGATTTTGTTGTGCGTTATGATGTTAAGAGAGAAGCCACTGCAGGTGATATACAGGTAAAAAATTTATAAATGAGAATGCTTTTAGATCACAGATAAGTATGAATGTGAAGTGAAATCAGCAAAACAGCAACATTTGCTTTGAAACACCAAGAATGACAGGAAAAGCTCTTCCCATTAATCCAGGTTCAGCAACAGCTGAGGGTGATACTCAGTAATCCCCAGAGACATCCAGGTATATTGAAAAAAAGATCACTCAGGAAAAAAAAAATCAGTCTTTCAAATTTTATTCAAATGTCCAATCTATACTGGTATTTCGTAGATGGTTTTTTACAGTCTTTTTAAATTATTATTTTGTCTCCTCTGAAAGTGTATTTGTGGCTTCCTTTAAATGAAGTTTAGAGTAATGTGATTTATATCATTTCAAATGATGCTTGGTCTCTGTTTTTTGTGGCAACTGAGGTAATAACTAAATACAGCAGGAACTTCACAAATATTTATGAACAGATGCCTGTTCCAGGGAATAAAATAGAGTATTTTCCATATCATTTCACTAATGAAGTATACATGGGTGTGCTAAAAGGTGGCAGCCACAGTCATACAGCGGAGATGTACTCATAGGTAATGATAAAGAGGTAATGTGATACACAGTGATAATATGCATATATCATACTTATGGCATTGAGATGTCCAATATATATGTATGTATGCATGCTGCTCTCTGGTAATTTTCTCTCTACAGACAATTTTGCTTCCAGCTATGAAATACATTTTACTTTCTTTAATTTAAGTTCTTTTATTTGGGCTTATCGAGAGAGCAGAATGCTGAGCATGCTTCCCGCTTCTTGCTGTGCCAGAATGTTAAGATTTATTCTTTATTTATTCAGATGTACTTTTATGGGTGATTTCCCATTCTGTATTTCAGATTGTCAATGGGTATTTTGTCCATTACTTTGCACCCCAAGAAATGCCAGTGTTTCCCAAAAACGTCATCTTTGTTATAGACCGAAGTGGTTCCATGACAGGCAGAAAAATTGAACAGGTAACTTCCCTCAAAGCATGACCTCTGTTAGCAGCAGGCACACACCCACCAGCCTTCTGAGGAAGCAACTGGGAGTTTTTCATTGGAAGCACACACTGGTTTTGTACACAGCAAAAAGTTCAGACTTACAGAAGTGCTTGAAAATGCATATGCATGTATTGAAGTTACTAAGGAGTAACTCTTGTCTGACACAACTATTTTCATGGGTATTAAGCATTGTGGCAGAGAGAACTTTCAGTATTTTGGCAGAACTTCTTGTGCTTATATTTTTATTTAATGAAGCTTAGAGAGTTAATTTATCTGTTTTTTATGTTTATTGATGACTGTGTATGTAGCTCTGTTTAAGAGCAGACAAGCCCCCTACAGCCCTCATAGGTTGGGTTTTGTGTCTGTAAGTGAAGTGAATTGTCTATTTCTGATGGTCCCAACCTAAAACATACCATTAGAGTTTAATAAAGGCATAGGGCTGCATCTGGAACAGAGCTGTAGAGAAATCCCTTATTACACTGTAATTTCAATCCCAGTTCTGGCAAAGAAGTAGAAATAATCAAAATCATTGTTTTCTCCTTGGAACAGACAAGGGATGCCCTTTTGAAGATTTTGCAGGACCTCCGCCAAGAAGATCATTTCAGCTTTATCACCTTCAACCACAAAGTGGTGGAGTGGAAGAGCTCTTTGCTGCCAGCCACTGAGGAGAACGTGGCCAGTGCTGCAGCACTGGTGCAGACTCTCACTGCCAGGGGAGGTACACGTGCTCGTAGCCACAAATATGCACCCAATGCAATTAATTGCTTAGAAAATAATTATTTTTATTAGTTATGTAGTGCCCCAGAGCTACCAGCAGTGCTAACAAAGCAGGTCAGTTTCTAAAACTTATAAGTGAGGAGTGAGAAAGAAAGCCTGTGAGTGGTCAGACTGGTGACTACATTATGAGATAGATATAGTTATATAGTATATAAGAGATGCTTACAGCACATCTATGAATCAAAGCCACAAAGTTTTTTTCCAATTTTTATCACAGAGACAATTAGAAGATTCCTTGGTAGCACACTTTTTCGACAGAAAAATGGCAATTCACTCAACATTTGATAGCAATTTGCTGACTTTTTTTTCTATTTATATCGTGTCCCCTTGTAAAAAAACCAAAACAAAACAAAACAAAAAAACACCAAAAAGAAAAACATCCAAAGTTATACTCAAAGGTAAACCATGCCACAAAAATAAAGTAGGCCAAACAGACATGGCATTTCAGTTGCTGCAGCAGTCAGTGTGCTTGGTGTTATTATTTAGTTTTAAGCACATCTCAAGGGCTCTGTCTCCCTTTCATGTTACACTGTCAGTATGAGCAGAAGTTTCCTTACCCTAGGCACTAACACCAATGAACGCACCCATGCTCAGCTCTTTTCTCTGATTTCTTATAGAAGGCAGGGAAACTTTTCTTAAATATAGGTTAACAGATGACAGTATATTTACTTAAGCACTTTTTAATGGCTCTAGACAAGTTTGTATTTCCCATGACATATGCGTGGAAAATCCTCCCAAGAGAATATTCCAGCACTTCTGCAGCAATATAACACCCAGTAATTAAGTCCGGTAGGCTAAGTCCCTAAATCCTCCTCTCTCAGAAGGATTACTTCCTGCAGAAAACTTTAAACAAGTCTGCAGGGCCTGGGCAGATGGAGGGCAGCAATCTCTGCAGATTCTGCTGTTGAGGTGAGCAATTCCTGCTCTCATTGCAGGCACAGACATCAATGGTGCCCTGCTGGCTGCCGTGGGCGTGCTGGACAGAGCCGAGGCACTGCCAGAGCACAGCGTCTCCATGATTATCTTGCTGACAGATGGCCAGCCCACTTCTGGTGAGTCAATGCCATGCACGGCCCTCCCTCTTCTGGGGTTTTTTATCTGTTACACTTGCATCCCAATATTGATAGACCTAGCCTGTGTTTTAGAGGAGCTTTGGAATACACAGGCCAAGCTACTGCTGGATCTGGAGAGGGGGATTATGAGAGGGCTCTGCTGAGGGCTGTGATGGCACAGCCTGCCTGCCTGTGACTGCATATCCTTCAGCTGGGAATTGTTTTGCTGCATACCATTGCCTTCCTATTTTATAAACTCAAGGGAATTGGAGATATTCCAAGCACAGCTGAAATAGAAGAGTAAAATACGTGGAGACAAAATACAGACATTTTGCAGATACTGTGTACAGTCCTATTTGAGAGATATTGCTTGTGCTTCTTGCACCCTCTGTGCCCCAAACTTAAAATATTTTCAAGGTGCTTCTTATTCTGTATTCTTTGCTATGTCTTAATTAGTGATCAGCTGTGACAGCACAAACCAAAGGATTGAGATTGAGCTATCAGGTGAAATAAGCAACTCCCAGAGCAATGGCACAAACTCCCTTGTCTTGAATAGGGGTTTGTCTTAGTTTTGTGTGGCACCAGCATCACTCCAAGGTCAGCAATAGTACTTCATCTGTAAGCCTGTAATAAGATCATTCTGCCTTTTCAATTGTGTGAGCCATTCTGCCTTGGGGTTTCTTGATTTTGTGTTTTTTAATAAAATTCAGCTCACAGTGCTGCCTCCCCAGCACAGCCACAATGAGTCTCCAGTGCTGCCCACATCCAACAGTTAGAAATCAGTCCAGGGTGGAGTGTCAGGCATTATTGCCTACACTGCCTTCCTTAACAAAGCAGCTAAAAAAGAAAACACTGAGCTGCTCCCATGGTATTGCTGCAGGCAGTGACAGCTTCAGCCTGGAAATGCTGATGGAAAAACTCTTGCTGCATGGCCATCAGCAGCTCCTCAAATGGAGTAAGGTGATGGTGTGAAAATCTTTTTCTCTGTCACACAAAGGAGCTGGGAGAGAAGCATGACTGAGTTCATTGGCAGTTTGTTGGAATTGCACCATTAACCAATCCATTCTTCTCTCAATTGACACACATACTTTTTATGGATGGCACTTGTCTTTTGAATGCTTGATGAAGTGTATCCATCCCTCATGTTGTTAACTTGTAGTGTGTGTCCCTTCCCTACTAAAAGCCTCCTCTGGCCCTGTAATCCTATAAAATATTTTGCACTTAGCCATGACAACATCAGAAGAACCTAATAAAAGTCACTAAGGGGGGAGAATCACGTTCTGGCATTCCACTTGCAGAGTTGTGTTTTCATTTCCAATTTCATTACTAGCATTTTATCCCCTATTTTTTTAGTATTTTATTCTGAATTATTTAAAAAAAACTTCAGGCAGTATTTTCCATTAACCTGCTGCAGTCTTTTTGAGCTTGAAAAGCCCCAAACCCACAATGGTGTTTTTGTTTCATTTACAGGTGAGAGAAATGTGGAAGTAATTCAAGAAAACGTTCAGAGAGCAATCAATGGGAATTATGCTCTTTTCTGCCTTGGCTTTGGGTTTGATGTCAGTTATAAATTCCTGGAGAAAATGGCCCTGAGCAATGGGGGAATAGCACGGCGTATCTACGAAAATGCTGATGCAGCCCTGCAGCTCCAGGTCAGGAGTAAGGAATGTGCCAGGAAAGCCTCAGCTTATATCTAGTTCTAGCAGCAAAATCACAGATTTTCTGAGATTAAATGTTGGGGTTGAGTTTACTTGTTACTTTAGTGGAGGGAGGAAGGCAATTTTGGGGAATCTGAGGGTTTGTACTCTCCATGTTATCCATGACTCAAAGTTTTCAAATCAGCCACATTCGGACAAACTGGGAAACTCACACATTTCTCTACTACAAAAAGAGAAATTGTCTAGGGGAGAGGGACAATTTCTGAGTTTGCAGTAGTCTTGCACTGCTAAAGAAAAAGCTTTTTAAAGGGGCTTTAGACATTCAACATATTGCTCTGCACAATTTTGCTGTCATTTGTGTGTGTTCTCTGTCTTACTGCTTTTCTTTAGGGCTTTTATCAAGAAGTGGCTACCCCAATCTTAATGCAAATTGAAATGCAGTATCCAGAAAATTCCATTGAAGGATTAACCAAGAACAATTTCAAGCTGTTTTTTGAAGGATCTGAAATTGTAGTGTCTGGAAAAATTAGCAATGAACTGGATCTTTTGCCAGTGGAAATTAAAGCTCAGTCAGTAAGTGTTTAGTTTATTAATTGTGAAACACATCTCTCCCTTCTGTCTTTTGTGGCACAATAGGAGGCTTCAAGAAGTGTTTTGTGTTTAGTATATGTTTGCTACATTTGGGCTCTCAGCTGTTTTCTCATTGTTTGATCTCTCAGGTAATTTGTTAAAATTACTCCCTCTTGAATTTGCTACAAAAGAAAAACCTTGAAGAATATCCACAAATAAGTAAACAGAATTTTTAATTTAGTTTTGCTAATTCTTTAACAAAATTCAAGTATTTTAGCCTTTTAAGCACTTTTAGGTTTCTATTGTTACAATGAAGTAGGAAATCTCAATTATTCATCTCAAAAATGCTGAAATAGAATTTAACTCTTTTTTTCATCATTGTTTCAAGTGCAGAAATACAGATCTAAAATACATGCTTTTTAGATACTTTGGGGATGCATTTTCCAATGGGGAAGAACAAAATTGAAGGACAGCTGGTACTGAAAGATATTAAGTCTCATAATGTGACTATAAATGAAGTTTATAGAGCTGAAGTTTATGGAGCTGTTCTTTTGATGGTCAGTTTTCTCCCACTTCAGCACACGAGTAACTTGACTCTTAAGGAAGAAGCAAATGTCAAAGAGAAGGAGCAAGTGTTCCAAAATCAAAGATACATCTTTGGGAATTTCATAGAGAGACTGTGGGCTTACTTGACCATTCAGCAGCTTCTGGAAAAAGCGTAAGAGATTTTAATGCCTCACATAACAAACTTCTAACTCCTCAAAGCACAAATTCCTTATTCACAAATTATATGATCAGAAAATACAAAGAAACAGAAATATTTTTCCAGATGGTATCATAAACATAAGATACTGGGAGAATACTACATTACTGCATGATGAACATGAAGTGCCTTTCAGTTTACGGTAGCACTACAACATTCAATTTCATATATATATGAACACATAATATAACACATTCTACATGAAATGACTATGAAATATATTTCAATTGTATGGGTTGTGTTGAGCTGTTCTTGCACACCCAGAAATATGTCTGTAGATAAGGAAATGGCAATAGTTAGGGAATAGAACAGTATGGATGTCCATAAGATACTTCATAGACCATATATCTATTACTTTTATGTATTTAAACCATACATGTTGCAAAGAATGAAGCATTTCCATAATTTCAGGCACATGAACAGCTGAGTTATCCCCATAAGACTACTGACCCTTCAATAATAAATATCTGAGGAGACACAGCTAATACATGAAGGAATCTGCAGATGATTTGTTCATAGTCCCTACATATTTTTGCTCCATCATTAACACAGACTTTAGTATTTCAGCCCAAGAAGAGGACCAGAAGGCCCTGGAGGCCCAAGCCTTGGATCTGTCCCTGCGGTACAGCTTTGTCACACCACTCACTTCCATGGTGGTCACCAAACCCCAGCAGCAGGAGGAGCTGGCAAACAAACCCACTGAGGCTGGTAAAAACAGCCCCCCTGAAATGCTCTGCTCTTCTTGATTCACTGTTGTTGACTTCCACTTAGGTTCATTTGATAGTGATGTAACAAGGCAAATCAGAACTTCAGGTTCAGGGATTGGCTTCTTTTCAAAATAAAACATGGAGGATTTTTTTGAAAGGTGAAGTGATGAAGCAATCACTTCAATGGAAATGGAAAATAGTTTGTTTAAATATTAACTAAAGGTAGTCTAATAGCTGTTACTATGAATGTAGGGGGGAAAGCATGGCCTCAGTCAGAGTTTTGCAAGTGCTATATATACCCATCCTTTAGCCCAGAAAACATCATCACCTGAAGCTCTTGTCCCAGTTTGCTGGTTCACATGGGTAAAGTAATTCAGTGTTGACTGTATGACACTCATCTGTCCCTCTTCCTCTTCACAGATAATGAGAAGCCCAGGAAACTTCCAGCAGGAGGTAAGTGTTTTCTTCTTTTCCAGTAGCATATTTTCATAGTCTCTAAAAAAACAAAAAAAACCCAAACAAAAACAAAAACACAAACAAACAAAAACCAAAACAAACAAAAGAGTTCATGGTGGTTGTTCTGTAGAGGGAAGTATCTGAGACTTGAAAAAATATGTGAAGTAAATTATAAGCAATGCCTGCTACAGTCTTTGCAGGTTCTAGGTGGATAACAGGGACAAAGGGAGAAAATCTTCCATTCAGAAAGTCTCAAAGGTCAAAATTATCTTGAGGAAAAGTAGTTCTTCGAGTCAATAGTGTTAATGATGCTTTCTGCTTCTTCCTACCACGTGTGAAGCATCTCTCCAAAGACTCCACTCAAGAATGTCTGGGGAGGATGATTCAGGTATGTTTTTCCTCTCTGGAAACTGCATTTATTTGAATAATAATTTTATAGGTGAAGAACCTTGGTTTTGTTCTAGTTCTTTCACAGAAATATATCAAGAGAATCACAATGCTGCCCTGTTTCTAGAAGCTGCCTCTTTCAAAGTGCTGCTGGGGAGTTCAATAGCAGAACCTCTCCTCTAAGGGATGTAATGCAATCATGAGTAAAACACAGACACACTTTTTTTTTTTCTCTCCAGTTGCTTTTGGACTGAGGGGTGGGCGACCTGCTGGTAAGTACTCCTCCTCTGTTTCTTCTCAGAATAATTCTATAAAGTTAATTTCATATGTAGGGTCATACCAACCTTATTGTAAATAAGTGCAGTTGGATTGGAGATGTTCACTTGATATACAATTTAGTTTTTATTATATGTATTTCAGTCCTCAGATATTTTATAATGAACTATAAACTTTTGAAAACAATATTGGCCCCTTTTCAGGAATAAAAAAAAAATATACCTCATGAAAATAAATGTGAAAGATATGGAAAAGCATGTATTAGTAAGCTGAAAGAAATGGAGCTAAGAACAAAATAATTCACCAGTCCTAAGGTATCCAGAAAAGTCAGTGGACAGCAAGCAGGACAGATTCCCTCTTTCAAAGTGTGGGGAGGGAGGTGCAAGGCATAAACCCAAAGCAACAAAACATTGGGAAAACCCTTTTCTTTCAGATCGATGGCGCTCTGAGCTCCAAAGTGGCAGCAACAGGAAGATGTTTTCAACAGGTAGCTGCTCACAGTGGGGTCAGAGGGGCTGGGCTGGGTGTGCTGCATTCAACACTGCCCAGTGACCCTTGAAAACACAGCTCTAAACCCTCCTACAGCTCCAGCTGAGCACAGGCCCATCCTTGTGCTCTTTTCCCCCATTGGGACAGCTCGTCTTAGGCCAAGCTCTCCGTAGTTGTCAGTGAAGAGCTCTGTTTAAAAGGATTTCTTTACAGCATTTGTCCTGGTTCATCAGCTGACTTGCAGAAAAATGTTTCATTAAATTCTTCTTATTAATTTTGGCTGTTTCAGTTTCCAGGTTCAGACATGCCAAAATAGCAGAACCTACTGGTGAGTGACACACATCCTATACCCATTTCAATTTCTAATGTAACTGTAATGTACACTTCTTCATGCAACAATGCTTTTTCTGACTGCATCAACTCTGTGAAAATCTTTTACCTCTCCTTGCAAACCTTGGCTAGTTCTTTCCATTTAAGTAGAAAGTATTCCTGTATTCCATGAGAAGATCTCTCTAGCTCAAGGATATAAGAAATGCAGTACAACAAATTTTCAGCCTGAGCCTTTTTAAGTGCTCCTTGTCCTTAGTAAACTCTGTATTTAAAATCTGTTGGTTTCATTCATATCAAGATGCTGTGTCTGGGTATGCTTTTCAACAACATTACTTTGTTTTTAATCATTCTATACTTTAAAAGCTATAACTACTGTTTTAAGTAAAAATCTATAAATTATTTTTTCTGTACCTCTCCAGCACAGAGGCTAGATTTTTTTTTTGTTGCTGATATTTTTCTTCTTTCTTTCTTTTCAGCCAGTGAACATCCACAACTTCTCTTGCAATTACCCAGACAAAACGAAAGAATCTGCTTAAATATTGATGAGAGAGCACAAACCTCTGTCCCCCTGCTGTCAGATCCAGAGCAAGGTGAGTGAGCCACATTACCCCAACACCAAGATAAGGAGAGTCACTGGGTCTGTGAGTGCAGTTGGTGTTTTGGGAATAACCCCCTCTCATGAAGAGCCATCTCACACCTGCTGCCTTGCACTGACCAGAGAGGCTGTGGTAAATTCTGCCTTTCTGTTAGGCAATATTAACAGTGCAACAGCTGGGGGCACTTCTCACAAATCTGGCTGAGAATCCCCTTCTCCTCCTGGTGTCATATCCTCCCTGGTGCTTAGGGTTTTCTCCTACTGAGCCCTTGGGGCTTTGGAGGATGCAGAGACCTTAAACCTTATGGTCCCTGTGTGCCAACAGAAAGGAGCATGCTCTGGATGCACAGCAGATTTTCCGTGGTCCTGTCCTTGAGGAGCCATGGCCCAGGCACCAGGCACCTGCTCTGATTATGGAACACAGGCAACTGTGTACAGGAGGTGGAAGCATGGGGTTAAACCAGCTCTAGTGACCCCACCACAGACCTGGGGCATGTGGAACTACAAGCCAGAAGTGCCCCACAAAAGTAGATTTGAGACCCTGCAGTCATTTCAGTAACAAAACTGGAGCAGGTTTATGAAGATCACTTGTACCTTAAGAGAAGAATCACCTGACACATTTGTATTAAAGGACTCACTGTGACGGGGAAACTTGGAGATGGAATAAATCACTTTGTGCAGTTTGATATCAGCTATGTGAATCCCCCTGTGCAAATCCATGTCTACACTCATGCAATCCTTGTAAGCCACAATAACAACAACAATTGGCTGTCATGGACAACATCAACCTCCTCCGCCATCCAGGGGTAAGAAACATCTCCCTGTTTTCCTAAACTTGAAAATGTGTCAGATCTTTGTTCATTCAGGCCTCTCCTTTCCCATTTACCTGAAGTAAATGCTTCCAAATGTCCTTCTCCAGCAAGTATATCAGTGTGAGTAGCAGCTGAGTATCTTCATAATCTCCCATTTCAAATATGGAGAAGAAAATAAGTTTAATTCTCCATACCTGTGTAAAGAGAACCAGAACAACTGCACCATCAGCCTGCTGTTCATGTATTTATGTTCCAAAGGGAAGGAGCCATGCAGAGCAGCCTTGTGCCACCAGCAGCCCCTTTGTGTTCCTCCAGGGCAGAGCAAGCACTGCCAGTGATGGCTTTGACATTTACTGTCCCTTTTATACAGCACTTGGCTCCACACAGGCTGGGGTTTTCTTTCTCCTCAGTTTTAGCAGTAACTCCCATCTGGGAAGCTGACATTTTTTTATGGGCAGGCATTAAGCATTGGAATAGCTGTCTGTAACTTAATGTCCACTGTAGGAGAAGGAGTACTTTAAAAGCAGACCTCATTTGTTGGAGTAATTAAAGCAGGATCCTTCAGTACCCCAAGGAAGAGCTGAGTGGAGCTGGTTCCCCCAGCCTTTTTATATTGCTGGAACAACCCTCCACAAGGATCCCCTGCTGGCCTGGGGCAGACAGGACACGCATTGCTGCTCCCACACACACAGTTCTAGACAATAACAACTCCTACAACAACTGCTTTCAATTATCCTTGCATTCTAAACACAGCCAAGAGTTGGCTGGATTTATGTCCCAGTATAATTTGCCAAGCAGAATGATCCTCCTGCTCCAATCCAGCACCCGAGCCCTTGCATCAGCACTTTGGGGGTGGCTTTGTTAATCCTGTCTGCAGGGAGCAAAATGACAGTGACATTTGTGTTCTCCAAGACCACCTGGGATCACAATAATATTAATGGGTCAGAAGAAAGGCAAGATCTGAAAAACTTGTGAAGTACCCAGGAAAAAAATTTGACTTGTTCATTAAAAAAAGATTGAATTATTTTATTAGCCTACCTTTTTTCTCATTAAAATGGTGAGAATTTTTTTTCCCATCCAAGCATTTCTTGTCATTATGAATAATAAGGTGTATTCATCAGCAAAAAATTGTCCCCTGGTATATTTGCAAGACTCGTTGTGCAGCACGGAGAGAAAAGATATTCTACTCAGTATTTTCTAGCTTAAAGATAACTACAAACAGATCAGGAAAAATGCAATTGCAAAGAGATAAAAGGCAAAAATGAAATTATTTTGATTAATTAATATCAGTTAGTTAAATACATATTCTTTCTTCACATTCTTCTTGGAAATAACTTTGTCATTTACTTCCTAGGCTGACAGTGTCAGTTGAAAAGGAAAAGAGTGTTACAGCATCGCTGCCTGATACGGTCACAGTAAAAATTTCCTTGGTCAGGTTTCCAGAAGATTTCCTTGGGCTCTATTTCTTGAACACCGACCGTTTTTCAGACAAAGTCACTGGAGTTCTGGGTGTGTATTAGCATGGATGTGTGCAGCAAAGTATGCTCCTGTAACTCAGCTCCTGAAATGAGACTGTAGTCAGGTGTTTGTTTTGGGGAGTTCTTGAGAAACTTTGGATTTTATTTTTTTCCTTTTGGACATTGAACTTTTACTGCCCAGCAATCTCAAAAAGGGGAGGTCTCACTCTAGAAACATAACACATAACACAATGCTTTCCCACTCACCCTAAGTAGCCCATTGTGGGTTTAGAAGATGTTAAAATAAGACAGAAATAATAGTTGGGCTTAACCTCAACAGTGCTGTGGAATGACATGACTGATGCAGAAAATCCATTTGATGTCAAATGACAGACTATAAATAAGGGACATAAAATTGTAAACAATCATGGTTAGGAAATGAAAGCCAGCTGCTCCTGAACATCTTGGCTCCAAAAATCCTGGTGGGACCTAAGTTGAAGTTGTTTTGGAAACTTTGCAAAAAGAGAGGCTCTGTATTCCAAAAACCACAAGGAAGAAATAATTGTGAAAAACCATCAGAGAAAGGCTGAACCTTCCCGTGGAGAGCGTTAGGGATAACAGCAGTTTACAGATGAAACAGAGGAATTTTCTACTCTGGCTAATGGAGTATCCAAACTTGATCTTTGGTTTGTTTTCTTTGGTTTGAGATGAAGAGCTGCTCTCCTGGTGTTAGAGCTGCCATTTGGCTTAAACAAACAGCAATACTCAGCTGGTTTGTAGTTTTTAATAATTTCTATGTCTGTTGCTTAGGTCAATTTTATTCAAAAGCACAATTTGGGAGTAACTTCAACAATGATCAGAGAGCTATGGAAAGACTCCTGAGAGTGTCTGGATCTGAGCACAAAGTTTCCAGGTACCAGATATGGAGGGAGGGGAGGGGGTGTGCTTTGAGATGTATTTTATCAGCAAATACTAAAGAAATGAAATTGAGGGAGTGTTTGTAAGAACACACCTCTTTGGTGTAAATAACATGCATTTTAATTTTTTCCCAAAAGCTTGCATTTGTTGTTTAGGTGATGCTACAGGGCTCAAGGCTCCTATTTCATTGGGGGAAATAATTACACCCTGGGGGTACAGCTTGCATTGTTAGCCTGGAAAGGGAGCGTGTTCCCTCAGTTGGATTTACCCAGAGGAAAATTTTCTATCCTTCAACTGCTTTTAGCACACATCTGTGATGGGGAAAAACCAGTGTGAGTGTGCAGGTCCTGGGAGTGCTGAGGTGCAGCTCTGCCCACCCAGGCCTCTGACTCCTGGTACCATCTGCACATCAGGGCAATTCTGACCTTGCTCCTTGATTGTGTTATCACATCACATTTTCTCTTTTTTTTTATTTCATTTCAGGTTGTACAAGAAAGATTACAGGCTTGAGTCAGCCAGTGAACCTGTTTCCTGCTGGTCAATAGAGCTAACTCCCTAGGAAAAAAAAAAATCTTTGAAGGAAATTATGGAAATGAAGCTCTTCCAAGTATTTTTGGTACTTTCATCAAGAAAACCACACAGTTAAAGCCTTACTGTTGCTCTATATGTGTCACAGATGTTTTATCTTGAAATAATTATACTTTCAAGATATGATGATATGATGGTCCTTGCTTGTTTGCTATTTGAAAATGGTTTCTAATCTGCAATGTGGTTTTGTTGTTGAAGATTTATGTGAATGAACTAAATAAAATTGACATTATCAGCTCACAGCTTAATATGGACACATGGACTTAAGTTTCCAAAGAAAAATCAGTAGTGGAATCATCCAAGCCAACAAATGTGTCATGCAAACAGTAATAGGTCTCTAGGACTTTATCCAGTTATAGATGGTGGTGTTCTTGAACCATGCATTTTGTGAAAACACCATGAAGATTGAGGCAGTGTTAGTTTACCATGTCTCTCATTTTCTACTTTATTGCTGTATCAGGGCTCTCTTGGAGGTTGTTCCGTGAGACCATTCAAAGCTCATGGAATCAGCAGTGAATGGGGTGATGCAAACCCACCCCAGCTGTGCTCTGGTTCATTGTTGCAAAAGTCTCTGAGGCTCCTTTTTGGAAACATCTGCAGAACAGCCATTGGCTGGTTGCAAAACCTCTGATTGCAAAACATTGCATTTCAACCCCAAAAGTTAGCAGCTTTTTTTTGGCTCCATTTCATACATTTTGCAAACATTGGAAGATGTTTTACAAATAATGAACATCTCAAACCCAACCTGCTGTGCATGGAGGTAACACTGCAGAGTAAACACACACACAGAAGCCTCTGCCCATGATATCCAAGCTGTAGTTTGTCTTCTGCTTTTTGTAAGTTTTAATTCCAAAATTATTTTGTTTCAGAATTTCAGTTCCTTTGTATCTTTGAACTTGTAAACATGCCAGCATTATAGGCAGTTTAACAGAAGTTTCCTCCTATCATGCCAATAATAGATTACTGGAAAAACCTTTTTATTTTAAAGCAATGTACTAAAAGAGAAACAATTTCTTGCCAAAGTCAATAAGCTAAAACAAACTGTGTAATTAGAAGCCTGTTTTTTGAAAGAATTGTGCATACACTATGCCAAGATGTGTTTGTGTGAATTGCTTGTACTTTCAAGGTGCTGATTTTGCTGCACAAATTACATGACCAACTGTGGAATTTGGAAACTGCAAATACCAGATTGCTCACTTCACTGCATCAAAAGCAGGCTTCACAATCTGATTCCATTACAGATGAACTTGGAGTTTGAATCACAAACTGTTGGTCCAGGGTTATATCAGCAGAGTTGCTGTAAATTAAATATTCCCTGCTTTCAGTTGTGGGGTGTCTGTGTGTCACCTGCTGCCAGCAGCAGGGATACAAACAGCACTGAGCAGGGAGCAGTGGCTCAAGGCTGGGGCAGCTTTCACCTGGCACCCTCTGCTTTAAGTGAGGCTCAGTCAGGCCCAGGCCATGCTTGGGAGCTGTACTCACACTGCAGTGCTGAGCTTTCCCAGGCAGCTGCTGCCCTGCTAATGCAGTTCTCCCTTGCTGCAAAGAAGCTCTGGGCCAGGGAATTTATTAAGGTACAATAGAAACTCCTCACATTGTTCAAAGATTTTATCTGACTTTGAATAGACAAGTTGTGCTGACAGAGGTTTCTGTGCTTTCTGCAGCAGCCCAAAGTTGCTGGTGTGCCTGGCTGCTGCAGCTGCCATATCCATGTAGTGCTGTTTGCTCTCTGCACTGTGCTTTCCATTCTGTAAGTAGGTGCCATTCCACTCTTCACTTGAATTTTGACTTAATTTGTTGTTTAGTCACTCTCCTCCTGTGCTTTCCAAGCCCCAAGGTGAGTTCTGGTGGGTTTCTGATTTCCCATATTGCCTTTCCTTGCTCAGAAGCTGAAGGTAGATGCAGTAATGAATATTTGGCATTTTCTAATTTCTAATTCCAATACAAAATAGTGTCAGTGTATATGTAACAGATCTATGCATATCTCACAGGATATGGGGCCCCACAGTTCTCTTTTTAACCAGCAGCCATCAGCAGGAGGAGTAAATGTATTATCTGACTGTGAGATCTGTCTGCTGCTTCTCTCTGCCTTCCATTACCTTTAGCTACATTTGCTGTTACCTTATCTTCTATCACCCCTTTCTCCCCCCACACTCCTCTTTTCTCTGTGTTCTACACTCTAGTTTTCCACACAATGACTTTCTTTGTCCAACTACTGTTGGGGAATTTTCTGCTTTTCCATTGCCTTTTTGTGGCTCATTTGATTAAAATAAATCTTGAAATAAATAAGAAATATAGGAGGGAGAGTACATGTTTTTGGTTGGGTGGGTTTTTTGCTTTAGAAGCAAGAGCTTGCAATTTCTTGCAGTAAAAAATGAATATATAAATAAATGGGGCACTTGCCCTGAATGTGTTCATAAATTCCTTTATGGGAACAGAAAGAAGGGTCTTCCTCAAGAAAGATACAATCCAAAAGAACTATCCTCACTCAAATGTGAGTGCTGCTGGCAACCTTGGTGTTTCATTAATTTGTAAAGATTCAGACATTCCAAAGAGAGGTTCAAATTAAAATGCTAAAATACAGAATTCCTGGATGCCAACAGTCAGCTCCTGTGCTGACAGAGCCCTCAGCTCTGCACAGTCAAGAGCTCAGGTGGTTCCAAATACCATGGGATTATCCCAAAATCTGGGCTGGGCTGTCAGATGTCCTCTTGTGCCCAATTTCAAAATGCATCTGGCACCCTGGGCTTTGTGAAACTGGCATGAAGAACATTGAGCTGTCAGAATAACAGAACCAGACACTGAGTACTGATACTTTAATTTAATCACTCCTGTCACTCAATTATTGATTAAAATTGGGTAGAGGGTTTCTACAAAGTCATGTAACAAAGTACCATTTTGAGTCAGAATTTTAAACCTAATAAGGAGGTCACTTCAGAGGATGAGGGATCTTGCCCTTCAGATTGGATCAAATACACAGTAAAACTCTTTATGAGAATCCATCATATCTTGTCCTTGCCAAACATGTATGCTTATATTATTTGAATAGATCTTATACATTGAAAATACTGTTCTTTCAGACAAATATTGTCTGCCTATGCTTCTGGAGGAAGTTACTTAGAAGAGACTGGAAACAATATAATCTGTGTGAACACCATCTATCAGCCCAGCTCCATTGTCATGGACAAACCAGCAGGGAATATCAACCCCGTGTGCAGGATCTCTTCTGTAATCCTTCTGCCAGCCCCTGAAAGGGAAAACACAGCCATGGAGTACTGAGGTAGGAATTGCACCTGGACAAGCAATCTTGCCTAAATCTTACCTAAGAACTTCATTATTTTGTACCTTGTTACTGTCAGTTCATTGTTCTTAACAATCATTGTGGCATCTGGTTTCTTGGGATCAGAGCCAGGATGAATTTCAAGTATGGTGAAGTCAATGGGCCGGAAAAACTGCCCTAAAAAGAGAAGCTAAAATTACCTTTTCAGACATTAAAACAGAAGCAAAACAAACAGAAATCCCAGAATTTCTACATTCCTGTGCTGGCTTCAGATCCCTTCAGAGTTTGGATTGGATAAGCTAACACCAAGTTTCAGGTAAGACTGAACATATGCCTGAGGTATTATTGGTATTATTTTCTGTTTATAACCTAGAATTTTATCCACATCATCTGCATGTCAGCTCCGGTTTCTGACTGCACGGAACAATTACAGCCTTTTCTAGATATCCTTCAAGATATCATCACCTGGTGTGTTGTCTATTCTGTTGAATTTATTCCATATTTTCCAAGTCTTCAGCTTTTACATAATCAAATAATCCATGTGTTGATCTCTGAAATTTCTGGATGTGGTTATTCTCAGCACAAGTACAATATTCTATCTATAAATGATGTAGCCTCATAAGGAAAGACCAGCAGGGAAACACTAAACAAAGTCATACCTAATAATCCATGGGTCTGTTCAGACAGTTTATCACTTTTCAATGTATACAGTCCCAGGAAATCTTGGTGGAGAGGATGTTTCTTCCACACTTGGTGCAAAACAACAACAAATGAGACACCACTGCCCATTGAGAGCACCAGATTTTTTTTCCTGTTAATTATCAAAGTTAAACTGAGGAAAAAAAGAAAAACATGACTTAGAACATTGTGTTTACCAGAGTTAACAGCAACAGAAAGAAATATGAGAAGTAAAAATGAATGTAGCTTTATAAACTGCTCAGGGCATTTTAAGAGAGAGGGTTTGCTGCCTAGTTTGGCCCATGGAGTCTCTCTGTGTGTTCACAGAGAGTCACAGAATCATATTCAATGACACTGGAAAAGGCTACCTGGCCTTTAGCTTTTCAGTAAGATGTTTTTAGCAAAACCTGTCCCTTAACAGTGTAATTGGTTACAGACAGGTTGGTGATATATAGATAGAGCACCTGATGCTCAGTGATACAAATTTTATTATTTAACCATCAGTTCTTTGCCTGAATGCTACATGACACTTTCTCCTTTAGTCTTTCAGAGAAGCCAACTTCCAACTGCCTATTTTAGTGCTGGGATAGAGAAGATTTGCTTCTGATTGTGTCAGTAATATCACCCATATGTTTATCACAATAAAAAAATCATGTGTAGGAATGAAAGTTTGCTCTTTCTGCTGCACTGCTGGGCCTTGAGAAGGCAGGGATTTTATTCTACACAGTGAAATGTAAAGGAGGAGGAAGAGAAAATGTTGCATGTTCCTTCTATAAACCTTTTGCACAGGTATAAATGATTCTGTAATAGATCCCATGAGAAATATACCTGCTGACAAGAAAAAATATACCAATTCTGTAACTGCCACAAGTTCAGTTTTTAAAATGGAGATTTGCTTTTGGAATACTATTATGCCTTTGAAAGATTACACACTATGTCTAAAATTACTACTTAAGCATTTGCAAGACACTGCTGTACAAAGCACAATACCAAATCTAGTTTCACCTTAGTCAGAGCAATAGAAGATCAGGGAAAAGTCTTCATTTACTTATTTCAAGCAGAGAAATTTGTGAATAATTCAGCAATTACACAACAAAGTAGAGAGCAGAATTCAGCAAGGCTTGAATCAATTGCTTTTGTAGATTGCCACACAAATCTTAGAAGTTTGTTATTGATCAACATCTAAAAATATTTCAAGTAGAGTAGAAAGTAGTACAAAAGCCTGATACCCTTTCTGTAAGTCTTACCCTGCTTGTTGCAAGGTGACTGAGTCCAGCCAGGTGAAACCTGTTTTTTCATCACCATTCTCAATTGTGATCCTCTCAGGAGTTACTGTCAGCTTTACATCCAGGTGCTTATTTGCAATACCAAGTTTTCCAAAATATGAGTTTTGGATCTTTGCATTACTATTTACTCTCTTATCACCAATAAGTTCTCCATTGACTGTGATGCCTAATATAGAAATAAAATAAATATTGTTTTATAGACAGGACCTGATCAACTGATGTCAAGGAGTGTCTTGAAAATTTAACAACTTAAGAAATGAAATATGAGTTGAAAAATAGATCAGAATTACTTGTGAATATTTGTACCAAAGCAAAATAATGTTCTGTGGGTTGTTCTGTGATTCTGTGGATTTCCACAAAGCCAACAATAATTTTGTTGAGAAAAGTTCCATTTTCCCCTAAGCACAGAGGGTTTGTGATGGGTACAGAGTCTGAATGACATCAGTCTCTCTCTACCAGATATCCCACAAACTGGTGACCTAAGGATTATTTTATTGCTTCTACTACAACTCACTGAGACAAATTACTACTCTCAACCCTTGCACTGGTTTTTAAAGTGAGTTTAAAAGTTCATTTTGCTACAAGAATTGAAAACAGTCATGGTAATGGTAAGCTATCATAGCTACAGGACCTCCTGCTGGCTTTGCTGGGAAAAAAAGCTTATGCATTATAAAGAGAGAAATAGCCTTTAAACACATTTTGTTAAAGTATCCTGTATTAAAAGAAAAAAAAAGTTTAAAACTCACCTGTAACTGGGTCATTTATTAAATTTAAGATCATGCCAGGGTTTTCATTGATATTGAAACAAATGGCATCTTTTTTTTGTGGCACTGATATAATGAAGTGTGGATCTCCATCAACTGTAAAGGCAAATCAGTGGTGTCTGTATAGTGATACACAGAGTCAAAGCTCCACATGAGCCTTTAATATTGCTTAATATTTAAATTTAATAACTAAATATAAATTATTTAATAGTAAACAGGCAGTTATCAACACAAAAATTACTGATGGGAAGGAGGACTGAGAAAATGACCACATATAATTTCAATTACTTGATCTTTAGAAGACACTAAGAGATGTTCAAACAGTAAATTAAAAAACTTGCCCCTTAAAAATAAAAAAAAATGGCTGCTTTTATGGAAGGGAAATATTGAAAATATTCATAAGAATTGTGTAATTTAGACTTAAATACCCTCTTCTGTTCTCCTAGACAGACACTACCCCAACTACTCACCACTGGTATACCATGTGGGTGGTGGTGCATATGTGTGATAGACTGGTGAAGCTGCAGAAGGAAAGAAAGTTGTTAGAAAAACTCACACCAAAATGGAACATTGCATGGCCTATGAAGATGTCAGGGAGTTAATATGCTAGTTAATATGTAAATCAGTGATGGCATCCTAGTTTTCAAAGCATGTAATCCATGGAATGACAGTTTGTGTTCTGCTTTTGAATCAAAAAAATCTTCAGGATAGACACAGATTTCACTTGTAGTCTAAATTGCTCTGAGGGTTTCCATACAGCCCAAGCAATCTATCTGTAGGATACAAATATTTCAGACTTGAGGATTAAACTGTCAGCAAGGAAATGCAACATCATCCATTGAAAACTTCTGACTTTTTGACATTTGGGGTGCTTTTGGTTTTTTGTTTGTTTTACTTTTTTTTTTCCAGAATGAATTTAAGTCTTTTAGTGAAGACTTGAAAAAACTAGAGAGAGATTGGCACTAATATCCAGAGTAAAACCATAGTTCTAACTCTCCCATTTCCAGGATTGCCCAGCCAGCAATTTGGTGGATCAGTTGCTGTCTCTTGAATGAAACAGATGCTTTTTGTACAAATGTCTGAACACATTAATTTAGCCAGAGATGCTGACATCAGAGTCCCTGGATTTATATAATTCCAAAGGAAATGCAAAGTGAAGTCCATCCTCTGCTCTTGGGAAACAGCTTTCAGGAAAAAATGATGGATTATGAACAGCTATTTACTCCCTATAAACTATTTAGCTGGAGCTCTGTCACCTCCTATTGTTCAATCTTTAAGTGTCTTTTCAGCAGTGAGTAGAATTTGGTCGTATTTGTAAAAGTCCAGTTGTACTGCCAGAAAAGGTATCTCTGCCTCTGGTAATTTCAGTTGGCAGACTCTGTTCCATTCAGAAAAGTAAATTAAATTACTTACCCATCAAAGGACCTGTGAACATCCCTGTTTGAATGAAACAAAATGTTATTTTAGAGGCTACAAAGAACAAAACCCAATCTTACCGACTTCATTCCTTCCTCCTTCCAAAACCAACACAAAAATCTTGTAATTATGTATAAATTTCTAAATATTACAAAAAAAAATTATTTATTTAACAGTGCTACAAAGCAACAGTCTTGAAGGGGCTGAAAGCACACCCTGCTTCCCAGCACAAATGTAACATCTCCCTGGGGTTTGCTCTCTCTGGGACTGGGACAGCCTGCTGTTCTCTGACACCTCTGTGCCACCTTCTAAACTGCACTTATGGGAAGGAAGAATTGCCTGCCTGGTTCCACATTTTTCTATTCTTCTGCTCTTTTACATCTGAAATTCTGTCAGGATGTCTCTGTGCTTTAGAAGTGGCAATCATGGCATGGATGAAGGTATCGTTGTATGAGATTGCTACACACAGGTACCTGGGAGGCCCTGGTGGCAGCCCTGGAGAGCAGCTGACTTGTACTGGGCCTGAATTCTGGGTTATGGGATGCTGCAAGCACCAGAGACAGGAACTGAACTGAAACCACTACTTACGTCTGAAAAGTTGTATATCTATTCATAACATGATCTTGATTAATTCCTCTTGAACTTTATGAAAATATTGCATCCTAGGTCAAATAAGTAATGTATAAAATTCATTTCTATTAAAAACATTAAGTAAATTTAAGAAAAATTCACATACCTTCAGCTGTTACCATGGGCAGGTAAGACATAAAAGGAAGAAAAAGAGAAATTCAGAGTTTCAGTTATACAATTAAACAGGAAGGATTATGACCCTAATAAAACATTGTAAAAAAAATTAACTGTTTGAAAACTCAACCAGCTATCTTTAGTATTTTTAAATGCCACTTTCCCAGTGATAAAACTCAGTATTTGTAGGTCAAACAGAAATGTACTGAAAGTAAAAAGCTTTTATGCAGGGCAGTAGAACTGTAATTTATTATGTATAGGACAAGAGCTCTATTTGGAACTGTTTTATTGTTGTGCCATACCTATATTGCAAAATGTTCCTTACTGGTTTTATTATTTTGTAGTTTTCCAGGCATTTGGATGATTCTGTTAATACTGACTGGATGATTCAGTACATTGATTTGTGAATTGAGACTTCAGGGTGAGTAAAATTGGGTTTTTTCCTTACACAGGGTCAGAGCTTTGAGTATTTTCTCCTATTACTGCTCTACACTATCTATATACAGAGAGGATTTCCTTTGAAAGAGGTTCAGAAAAGAGCTTTTATACTACAAATACCTGGAAAGGGAAAGCAAAGAACTGAAGATGACTGAGTGGATGTCACTTCTGACACATGTTTGGGGGTTTCCATGTTATGCAGAGCAGCTGCAAACTTCAAAGTCATTATCTTGTGTAGTGATTTGAATGTTAAATTAATCATGAAGGGGTTTTATGTCAGCATTCCATTATAGGAGTCATGAAAAATAATGCAAAAATTTATCAGCAGAATGCCTGAAGAATGATTCAGAGTTGAAGGGCGCGTAGAAATTCACTGGTTTCAGGACTTACTGCAGCTGAAAAAACCTCACCAATCTCCAGTATCTCTGTTATGCTAAAATGCCTCAAGTTCCTATGCCAAAATCAGGAGATGAGAAATTTTTTCATCTAGAAGGCAGCAGAGACCCCACACAGAGCTTCCAAGGAACTTTCAGGGGCTCTAAACAAAAACTGGAGAAAAAATAAACGATGGTGATAGAGGAGACTGGAAAGCCTCTGTCAGACCTGTGGGATGAGGGTGGCTCAAACAACACAAGGAGATGAGGTTAGGATGGCTGGGAGGCACACTGAGCACAGAGCACTGCTTTGCTTGGCCAAAGAGAAGGAGGAACAGAGTATTTGATACACAGGAGTTAAACAGAGAGGCTGAACTATAGGAAAAAAGAATATTTCACTGAGCAAGGAGTTCATAATTAGCTAAAGTATCAGAGGAGTTGAAAACAAATTGTGTGTTTTCAATATAATTGCTTCTCTTTCTGCAATATATATATATTTGACTATTGTGTTTTACATAAGTAATCTCAATCTTTTTACAGCCTGATATATCCTGCCTGAGGAAGAGCTCATGCAAATTTTTCCCTTTTCATGTGGAAAGAGGTTACATCTATCCCTAGGCTGAAGTATGTAGAAAAATAAAGGAGAAAGTGATGGTAAGTCATCTGAATATAGCTGGATTATTAGATTAGAAATGCTTCTTGGTTTTCAGGGTCTTTTTCTGTAATAGTTTTTCTATTTAGTTTAAAATACATTTATTTTAAATTTATAGTGCTTTGCCCATATGATTTAATAATGAAGGATAGTTTGATGGAAATGAGCTTTACAATGAGAAGTAATTTTGCATAAATCACACACATGCCTGGCTTGGAAAGTAGATTTTGCAGATACATATTTAAAACTGTGCCCACATGAAAGCCTTTCTTTAGGGCAACATCAAAGGAACTCTTAGCTTCTCAGATACAGTACAATTGTGAAGATGTCTATACCTTCAGTGGGTTTATCAGCAATCCCCTCTTCATTTTCATCTTCTTCTGGTTTTGTTACCACCATGGATGTCAGTGGTGTTACAAACTTGTACATTAGTGAGAGAGCCAAGGCTTGAGCTGTAAGGTTTTCCTTTTCTTCTCCTGTGGCTGTAATGCTGAATACAGAAAGAGACTCCCAGCATCAGTGATTGCTGAATCACTCACCACACATCAGATTACATATTTTAAAGTAAAGTAATTTCTCTGCAGGCAATTTATCAATTAGATATAACTGTTACAGCTTAAGAGCACTTTGGATTCTTTTGGCTGTCCAAGAGAAAGGCAAAACTGTGCTTTATCCCTGCAATAATTTAAAATTCTTTCCTTTGCAATCTGAAACATGAATTCTGAGGCTAGGGAGGAGAATAGCATGGTGGATTTCCCTCACTGATTTTCATGATTTTCCATTGGCAGCTCAATGGGATGTGAATGTCAGCTTCACATCCTAGAAACTGCAGGACTCAGAGGCTGTGAGGAGTTCAGAGCTAAGGTATAATTCCAGCTATAATTACCGTTTTTCCAAGAGTTGTTCAATGGTAAGATAAGCCCAGAGCCTTTCAATGTACTCTCCAAATATGTATTGCTGTTCTTGGAAAGCCTGAGCTGTCTGCTCAGCTCCTTGCTGTGTAGTGTATGACAGGGCGTCCTGAGCCTGTGGGGAGTAAGAATGTTCTCTGCATCACAAGTAGCCAGGGACTGACAGGACTTCCCAAAAACTAAGACCTTCACACCTGAAAATCTTATGAAATCGAAAACCAGTCTGGTTCTACACCAGAAAATGGCCAGTGTTGTATGAGGAATTTTGTCCCATTGTTTCTGGGAATTTTAGAGATGTACACTACAGAACACAACCCAGTATTCCACGTTCACGTGGCATTTTTGTTCATCAAAAAGGAGGCAAAAGCAGCATTCAGAGATTTTGTGTAGCTTACATAAATCAAAAAAAACCCCATACTTACACCTTCACCTCTTACATCCACAGACAAATGGTTTTGGTTGCTGTCTACAAAGCGCCCAGCCACCACAATCTCAGACCCATCATAGAAATGCTTGAAGCTGTTAGTAGTTAGGTCTGATATTTCATTTTCTGGGTAGTTTAACTCCACATCTATGAGCATGGGATTTGACACCTCATCATAAAACCCCTGTAGGATTGAAAGAAAAAAAGAAAACATTTAACTATCATTGTTTCTTTAGTTCATGGGTAGATCTGTAACCAGAAACATCCTGCTATTCCAGGAAAGAAAACTAAAAGGGTGTTTTATAAGAAATATTTAGATATTTAGTTAAATCTCAGAGTGTAAAGCCTAGAAATCTACAAAAAATTGAAAAGAGAAAGGACATACAAACTCTTCAGTCTTGCTAAGAGAAAGGAAGAATATTTGAGAACAATGTGCTGTGGATGATGAGTTCCATCAATATAAATCAAGAGGGATACCAAGCCTCCTGTTATTTGATAGAGATAATTTTCTACACCTCTTCTCTGCAGATACTGACATGGCAACATAATCAAAAGAGATTGGGCATTTGATTTTATCAGAGCTTGCAATGAAATCTAATATCTAATTCTTTGAGGAATTCTTTGAATGGCAGCTACTGGAATGTGAGAAGTAAAAAAAGACTACCCTGTATGGCCAATACCAGTTTTCATGTCTTATACTCCAAAGTGCATCAGGAGTGTGGTAAGATACACCTGCTTGCAGTGAGTTTCTTAAGAAAGAATATCTAGAGCTTTATGATTTGTTACTCTTTTTGTCCCTTGACAGGACATTAACCACATGATCTGTGAGGTGCAGGAGATGCAATGACTGCAGAAATTCCATCAGAGTGTCCTTCAGAACTGTGAGTTGTGTCACCCTATGTGTCACCCTAAGTTTTAAACTCCCTGCCATAGCCCACAGCATGTCCCTTTTATTGTCCCTGCACTTCCTGCTTACATAAGGGAAGGGGAAAATTAAATGCAACTAAAGGTCCCTTCCAACTCAAATTTTAATACACTGATCACAGCAGACTCTGGAGCATCTCAGTATCACACTACACACTGGGATTTTGATTATTTGAAAATAAGAACATGAATAGTTATCTGACCTAATGTACCTCTGACCTCATGTACATGGTAATTACTTCACCTGAAGCTGCAAAGCTGCATCAGAGTCAGGGTAAATCCGACGGGCCAATCCTTTATTCTCCAGCGCCATCCTCTCCAAGAAGCCATAGTCAACACCACTGCCAAAGCCAAGGTTGTATAAGGTGTATCTGCCATCAATGGCCTTCTTCACTGATTTCTCAATCTCCTGAGTATTGGATACACCTGCATCAAACCAGGAAATGTTTGAGTTGTTTTCAAAATAGATAAAATGATCACAAAATGAAATGTGGCTTGGCATGTTCAAATTTCTTAGGAGACATTACCAAAAGCTTGATTTAGTACTATGATTCTGTTAGCATTCAAATCATGAAAATACCCAGAAGTGAAAGATGAAGGCCATTTTTAACTAGCATTTTTGTTAGTTAATAACTATCTTTATTATTCCATCCAACACAAACTTACCTACATTTGGCTGACCATCTGTTAACATGATAATTATAGAAGCGCTTCTCTTGGGCACAAGGTTTTCTTCATGAGCAGCATTCAGAATATCAATTCCTCTCATCAAACCACCATGTAAATTTGTCACTATGAGGTAGACAAAGAAATTCAGGTTCAGCAAAGGCTGTCAAAGTAAAGGTTCATTTTCCATTGGGGTCTGAAGAGATTTTATTACATTACAGAAAATGAAAGATTTGGATTTACAAGCAGGGGCAAGTCTAGATAGAAAAGTACCTGGACTTTGGAAACATAAAGAGAAATAGACATAATTTTCTGAGTAAAACTGAACTTCAGGAGTGCCTCATCAGCAATCTGAAACCCCAACAAACTGTAGCATTGTGTTCAGAATCAATCAATAAATTAACTTACACAATGACCTACTGGCAAGGCCCGTCAAGTACTTACGGCCTTGAGCAGAAATTTGCCGAACAAACTTCCTCGCTTCATCCAAATTCTCAGGACTGGCCTTGATTAATGTTTCTTTCCAGGTAGATATTTCACTATCAAATAATATGAAATTGAAGAAGTCATCTTCTTTAATGTCATCTAGGATTTTTAGTAGTGCTTCTTTTGTCTGTAAGGCAAAGAGATTTAAATACATGATTCAAAATTTAACAGATATGTGCTTACAGGTTTGACATCATTAATCTCTCAGCATTGGGCTATTTTTTACTCCTACACAGTATATATTGCAGAAATTCTGAGCTTGTTCTGTTCTTGCTAGTCCGTGTGTCAATTTCAGAGTAACTCTAGGGAAGTCAGCAGCAATAACATCTGGTAAATCTTTGCAGCTGAGATGAAAATCCGTTTTCCCATCATAGTTGGTTGCTTACACTGAGATAAACTGGCATGGCGAATGGGTAGTTAGGTTAATGGAGAAGCTGATAAACAAGCATCCCTGGATATTTTGATGCAGCACCAAAACCTGAAAATTCCAAACATTAGCTCAGTCATAACTCTGAAAAGAGCTACTGCTTCCCAGACACAGAGTGAACAGAGAAAATGCACATAATCTGTATGCACAGCTTATTTTGGAACTGTCAAGCACATGACAGCACTCTCTGGAAATGCTGATATTTAGAGTTTTGAACTAATGACATTTATAAGTAAATAAAGGCTTAATGTATAGATTTTTGTTCTACAGCAACACTGCAAACCAGTACATCTGGCACTGGACATTAGAGAGGTCACACCATTGAGCCACTTTGCAACAGCTTGAGCAGCACATGTGCACTCCAAGGCATCGTCCCTTCCAGCACCATCTCCCTCCCAGCACCTTGTTCCAGCTCTTTCACTTGAACTCCATAGTAATGTAATAACTCACTTGTTCTATTTCTCTTCCAGACATTGAGCCACTAGTATCCAACACAAAAATAATATTCTTGGACAGCTTTGGAAGATTTGTTGGTGCAAAGAAGTGTACAAAATAGCCATTGACAATCTGAAAAAGAAAACACCACCAGCAAAAAGTTTGGTACATTACAAAGGTAAAACAGATAAAGGAGATATTACTCTCATTTAATGTCTAGCCTCTGAGTGGCCTAAAAAGTTTTAATGGCCCTGATCAGTCTCACCTCTATCCATGTGCCCAGGGGTGTCATTTAAGTGCAAGACTGGGCCTTTAGACACTGAGCTACAGTGTGAGAACAGCTACAGTGTCCTGTCTCCAGCTGTGTCACACCTGTATCTGTTCCTATCCATGGACTCCACTGTTTTGGATCCCCCTCTGAAGAGCCCACTGAGTGCTCCCACTCAGCTGCCTTAGGAAACAGTTGGCCCTTGCTGCTCCCTGACCTTTACTGTGCAAGTTCAACTGTTCAACAGTTCAGAATTTCGAGTTGTTAGACTTACCTGCAAATTATCTGGAGTTGTTCTCTTCACATCGTATCTTACAGTGAAATCCCCATCCAAGACAGACTCTGAGCAACTTGGACACCTTCGCTGCTGGTCCAGGGTTGGCTTGAAAGAGATATGGCCCTGAAAAGAAAAGCCTTCCTTAGATCTGAGCATTAATAGCTGAAAATCTCCTACAGAACACATCTGCATTTTTTTAAAGCTGGTATATCTATTTTCACTGACATAAGAATAACCTGTTTTATTGGGTTAGCTACTAGATTGTACGAATTCATAGGTACTTAGAAATTTATTGGTGGTAACTGACACATGAAGGCTGCTTTCCACAGCTTTCTCCATATGAGTACTTCTCCTTGGGTCAGCTCTTCACTCTGAACAACAACTTTGATAAAGCTGTTGTATCTTTTAGGAATTCTACTACCCCCATAAAAGGGAAAACTACTTGTTAGTAATTCAGTTTTTCTATAAGAGATAATCTTACTGGTATCCAGGTTTTCTCTTGCTGCCATTGCTAGCATTGAAATTATTATTTCAGAATTATAACCATGATGTGTAAATGATGGAATGCAGTAATCAATGTACCTTTTTTCCTGAAAAAGTTTTTTTAATGGTATTTTGTAGCTCATTGGTGATGAATGTTCCTTCTGCTTCCAGCTCACTGATACCCTGGGGCTCAAAGATATCTACTTCAATCTGAAATATTAATTAAAAATTTACTGTCATTAATTAAACCACAATACATCAGCCATTTGCAGGAGGATCAGTAACTACAGATGTGAAAGAGGGATTTTCATAAAGATAAAGAAATTTACTTTTGTAATACATAACAGCAGTCCAAATCTACATTTGTGTGGTGGACACATCTTCAGCCAAAGAGGCCTTTTCAAACACAGAAGTTAAAAACAAAGCTAGAAATAAGTAAACTTTAATAGAAATATGACTTGTTGGAAAGCTAGATAGTAGCATCCTATCAAGGCAGATGGACACAAAAAGCTGCAGTATCCCAGAATTTAAAGATTATGTTGTTTCACAGTGGAGTGAGAAAGCTGGAGATTATGCTATAAGGGTATATACAATTACTCCAAGGCATTGCAATAGCTTTTTCAGTTTTTCATACAGGATTTCTTTTGGAGTGCTCAGTAGATGAGCAAATTTGTCAGGTTTAGAAGTAAAAGCCTGCATTAAAGTGAACTGATGAGTGGTCCCCATGGGACTCATGGAAATGAGTTATCAGAAATGTTATCATGGCCTTTAGCTCACCTGTGAAACAATGGGAATGACCATGGTACTCCACTTTCAACAGATATGCAGAATTCCATCATCTCTTAAATTACAGTCAAATTTGATCAGTTTGCCATTTACCTCAAAATCTTTGACAAGCTGCTTTGGTTTCACTTTGATGAACATTTCATATTTTCCAAACTGTCGCTTCAGCAGTTCCTCATATGTGAGTTCAAAAGTGACTTTACTGGCTGCTTTAATGTTGACTGAGACAGTGAATTTTTCTGTTTTTCTTCCTGAAGCTCTGCATTTAAGTGGGTAGGAAAAAGATCTTTATCCTCTTTCATGGTATTTATTGTCGGTGGCATATGATTTTCAAAAAGAAGTAAAACAAAGATGGGATTTTTGATATACTGCTAAAAATCATCAATTAATACTCAAAATTATACTCAACCTGTAGAATTTATTCAAGTTTCCCACTGAGCTTAATCCCAGGAACAGGCCCCACAAAGCCAGTGAAAGTTGCAGGAACAGCCTTTCCATAGTTGCAGACAGTGCTTGTGCAGTCAGAGGCTGTATTTCCTTTCTACAATTTGTGCTACAATAACTTAACTTAATGATTGTTCTTTTGTCCCTTAATGTCAGCAAAGTGCCAGAACACAGCATTTCCAATCTCACAATCTGCTATGGAGTGATGGTGTGGAAGCCACAGAACACGATCCTTACTTTACAAGACCAGCAGTCTGTCCTCTCGAAACAGCCTTCTCGTATTGCTTTTTTGCAGCTTCTTTTTCCTTTATGGTTCCAGGATAGGTGACACCATCAATTGTCCTGCAGATGAAAAAGTCCTAGTTCAGTGGAAGGTTGTGACAGGAATTCTCCCTTTATTGATTTGTTTGCTAATAACCTTTCAGAGACCTGCTATTGCCAAGATTTGGGCCCTTTCACTGAAGTCAGGCTCCTGAGAGAATTCAGATGGAATGAAGAGCTCTGTGCTCAGTGTCATAAAAGAATCTAAACCAATTTTTACTTTGAATTAGATCAAAACTGGGCTGCAGCAACACAACTTACACCTGCCATATTCCTGCACTTCAGCAGCTTCACCATCTCATCTCATCTAATGGCAAACCAACTCTCTGGATGTGACTCACCTGTCCAGATGTCATCATCTACAGAGGAGCATTTCATCCTTGAGCTCCTTAGAGGACTAAGCAGCCATTTCTCATCACCTCATTCTACCAAAAAAGTTCCAAGATGCATTATGAGTGTTTGTGTCCTAAAGCTAGTGCTCCTCTTCACTGGAGATAAAGCAGGCATGGTGTGATTAGCAGAGATGGATGTGCTTAACTGAATCAAACCTTATCATGGTGGAGAACTGCACATGATTGCAACTAAAGGTACAAATGTAAAAGAATAATTCTACTTTCTGCCTTTCATTCAAATATGATTTTTAAATGAAGAGATAAATTAAGGTACAATGCCATCAGGGAAATGAAGTAATGGAACTTTCCTGGTTTGATAATACCACAGTAAGTAAGAGGCATTTCTGAAAAGGTGGATGAATCTGCAGGAAAGGTCCCACATTCCCTAAGGTTCCCTTCTATTCATAATGATGAATAGAAATAATTGAAAAATGAATAGAAATAATTGAAAATTAGTCATCTTTTCTACAGATGTACCAATGTTTGCCTTTCTCCACATATCTTGCATGTTAAGTTAATAGTACCAGAAAATTACCCAGGAGGTATTTAGAAATCTATTCAAATGGCAAAGTAAAAATGAACACTCAAGTTCCATTTCTCCCAGTTGAATTAGCACAGATTTTTAGTCTTCTTTAACAATATTGTAAAGATTACACACATGCTGAAGTTGGTAATGAAGGCTGTCTTAGGGAGATCAACATCAAAGAAAACTTCTTTGGACACATTTCCACGATTGACAGCTCGGCTGGTGATGACATTGTGTGCAAAGCGGGAAGTCACTTTACTATCAATTTTCATGCTATAGATTTCCATCCCATTGACAACCTGTAAATTGAGAAATGAAAAAAGACAAAAAGAGCACTAGCTGTTACACTCATGTGTGTATTAATTAAGTTGTGATCATATTTTTAGAAAGAAACCACAGCAGTACATTGATCACTGCAAAGCAAAAAGAAAGAAAGACCTAATACAAGAACTGGAACACAGCTGTGTTTCCTTGGATATCTGTTTCACTGACATGAATGTGCTATTCCACAAGTCATAACTATAGACTTTAACAAAATACTACCACCAAAAATACTGCCATTATAGGAAAAGGTTTTTTCTCTACTGAGTAAGCGACTTTTTATGGTTATTCAAAGAGCACAGCTCTTTACTGCTGCCTCACTGTATTAGTGACTGTGGTTATCAGAGGAGTGGAGGACTCCCAGAGCAGAGATGTAAGTAATCCTCTTGTTTTAAAATAGCTCAAATGCCTCCAAATTCCGTTTTATGTTATTCTCAGCTTCCTCCCAGCTGGAGCTCAGTCTTTTTTAAACAAGGAAATGGGCAAGGCAATATTTATTTTCTTTGTATGTTCAGGTATAAGGTTTCTGGACACTAAATGAAAGCATAGGAACAACAGATGTTCCCATTAGGAACACCACAGCAAGGTCTGCTTCTGGCAGCAAAACCAGCACTGGAAGGAACTTTGGAGTTTTTATGATGGGTCTGATTTCTGCTGATTAATTGAGAAGGTTCCCAAACAATCAAAGCATTTAAGCATTGCTGAAGGGGAATCCAAGTGCCAAGTGGAATCAGCCCCAGAGATGAGGTCTCTTGCCTTCCTTAGCAATAGCTGCAACATAAAAGTAAAAACAAAACCAACATAGAATGAAAGTCTGTTAGAGATATGGAGGTGACTTCAAAAGAACTTAGGTATTTATTCAAATACAATGAGATTAAAAATCATTTGTTCATTCTCTTTCCTTGTCCAGGAGCTTCCATCAGAACTTGGAAAGCAACTGTCTAGTTAGTGCTACTGCCCAAAACAGGCAGCTCTGGGCAGTTTTCCTTGTCACACACTCAGAAATATCCATTTGCTCAGACTGGACTCACAGAAATATTTTGTGAACACAGTAAGAATATTCTTGTCACTATAAAATCTTGGTAGCCCAGACAAAGCCAAACCTTACTCACCAAGTCATTATCAGCATTTCGCTTCTGTAAAGAGAAAAGAAAGGAAAAAAATCATGATTAGGTAGGAAAGCTGCATTTAGAAATAAATCTCTTAGCATTTGTGTAGTTGTCACAAATTAAAAGTCCACGTTTGAGAAAGGTCTTCATTAATAAACTGAAGTAAACTTGAGGGAAAAGCAAGCAAGGGATGTGAGGCGGGTTGGAGTTATTTTGCTTATGGCATTCCCAGCTTTGGTGAATCTTTTGGTTTTCATTTGATGTTAGTGTACCCTAAATACAGTGTTTTTGAAAGGCAAGTTAAACTTTGAATGTTGCTGACTTTATGTTGCTCATGAGACACAAAAAAGTGTCTTCTTCCAGCTGAAAATACACATAGACCTTTGAAACATGAGGGAGAATGAGAGGAAAAGAGGCTCAAATGCTCAGGGCCATTTATAATTAAATGTCATTGAGACTAAAGAACACACTAAAATCTGTTTAATAGGTCTTCCTTGAGTAAGAGTTGGCTGTATGGTGACCTCAAGTAAAACCAAAATATTTTGTCCTCATAGTAACATCTTTTTCTTGAGAATTCCTAAATCTGAGTCCTGCAGTACATATTTTCTTTTCAAACTTATTTTCCTTTGGAGGAAAAAGAAGAGTTGTATCAAAGCTTAAAAACCCACTTTGCACATTTTTTTTCCTGGCACACAAATCCAAACTATCATGCAGATGCAGCCTTACATTTTTTTCAGACTCCTAAATGTTTCCTCTTTCAGCCCAACAGCCTCTCATCCTAACATGACCAGGTAGGAAGGTAATTCAGCAGGATTAGATAGGAGGGGCTGTCACTACAAAAAGCTGCATGGAGGGGGGAAAATAAGCAGTTAAAACGTGGGGGTTTTTTCAAATATTTGCTCCCAGAGTAGTGCAAATATCAGAAGCTGTACAACAGTATCTCGTACTCTGTTCTGAAAGAGAGGACAGGCACTGAACAAACTTCCTGAGTGCTGTTAAAATAACAGCTTGTGTAACTCAATTCCCATCAGCTCAGCTGCAAATACCTTATCTCATCGGGCTCCAAGAGCCGTGGGGGTCACATTTTGTGGAATTGTGTTTACCTGCTCCATCAAAGGCAGGGGTAAGGACACAACAAATCAGACACACATCTCAAGTACACTTAAGGCTTTCAGTACCTTTCCCAGCTGGAAACTGAAATACAGAGGGTTATTTTTTTGTTTATTTTGGAGTTCTTTTCAAGGAACTATATTAATCTATGGTAAAGCAAAATTTGAGGGAGGAAGCTTCTCTTCTGCTGTGAGAGTCTGGCAAAAAATGTCAGTGTGCATTCCTTCAGGTTCGTCTTTCAAACTGTTACTGCCATCCAGATGATTTCTGTGTGTCCACCTCTCCTTTTCACAAGCATATATGCATTCCTTTAATGCCAGTATAGAGTGTGCACCAACTCAAATCTGACCTTTCTGAAACTGGAAATATTTTTTCTGTATCCATATCTGTCATTACAGCTTGTCATTTCCCTTAACAATACCCAAACTGAGGTATGCACCTTGGGAAATGAAAAGCTGGAACTCTGAAATGTCAGTTTTTTTGGTTCAAACTTTTCCTCACAGTGGAATTACCACACACTTTATGCAAAATACAAAAAAAAATAAATATATATAAACCTATAAAAATATGTGTAGCTACAAATTCTGCAATTCTGACTACTGCTTCCAAACTGAAAGATACTGTACCTGCATTTGAGTTTTACAGAATTGCTGTTGTGCACATTCTTTATCAGAATCACAGCTTCAGTGCTAGTTTTGAAGGAGTTCTATTTTGATTCTTTAAATACTCTGAGGGGTGCTCTGCAATTTCCATTGAAACTACAGAAAAATCTCTCTGTGAAAGGCACTACTCACTTTGCACTTGGGCTGATCTACAAAGGAGATACTCAATCCAGCTGGACATCACCCAGCTACCTGCTCTAGCTGACCCTGTTTGTGCAGGGGAGGGGATTACGTGACTCTAAGTCTGTGATTTTGTTCTGGGTTTTTTCATTTTTAATGATTCACTTGAGTGTACCTTGAGCCATCACTAAATCAAGGTCATTCCGAGCTATGTGGGCAAAAAGCCAATCAAAATGATGATGCAATTCTAGACTAAAATGAGAATTAACATCCTCTACCCTGGGTTATTGTTACTTGACAAAATGTTTCTGTATTATTTTCACATATTTGCCAGGTGCACCAATTATTAGAACTTTAATATTTTTCAGTTGTGCAACAGCAACAAACTTCTTGTTTAATACTGTTTTGCTGTGGCAGCAGAAAAGAATAGAGGTGCAAAGAATCTATGGAAATTGGAAAGTAAAAGAGAAATTTGAACTCCCAGGAAAGCAGAGAGGGAAAACAGGACTCCATTACAGTACCTGCTGAAAGAAGCTCTGATTGTACAGCTTGGGAAACTAAACCACAGCAGGACTAAAAGACTCAGCAAAGACTGTACAGTTATCTTGGAGTGACCTCTGGGAATCCACAGTGCAGAACGAGGTATTTGCATATATCCCTAAATGCTACATAGGAAAACAAGGCATGAAAATTATCTCTGAATCTACAGCAGCACTGAAGATTCCATCACCCCAAGTGATGCCAATTGGGTGCCACAGAGAAGAGCCCATAATGCAGCTCATAGGAACAGGGAACTGATGAGGATTTTTGTTCCATTTTCAGCAGAATTGGGTCTGCCAACTGTGTATACCTGACTGGGGCTCTAAAAGCAGCTTTGACAGCTTAAAGGTCACCAGACAGCCAGAATTCCAGCCATGCTTCAGCACTGGATACTGCTTTCTCAAAGGGGCCAAGACACAGATGGGCACTGAGACCTTCACCCTACAGAGCAATCTCTTCCATTTCAATCAAATCACATTTGCATAAAGTACAGAACAAAACTGGGAGAATCAGCTGGCTTTTCCATAGTGCTCTGCATGCATAGATGGAGCATTGCACAGAGTTTTGGCAGTCTTCCATTTAGAAGGGCTTTAGCATTGTAAAACACATAGAGAACTCCAGACACTACAGTAATCGGAAGGAAAAAGCTACATTATATCTGGGCTACATGATGGTTAAATAGTAGGAATCCCTGGCATTTCCAATTTGCAGCATTAGATCTCATGTTGACTTTTAGAAGTTAGGGATGTTACTATCCTGATTTTCAAAGAAAAAGTCTTGGCAAAGATCATAACCTCATCAACAGCAATCAACCAGAAATTGTTTTGTCCTGTTCTACCTAGTAACTCAGAATGCTCCCTAAAGAGATTTGCCCTCTGTAACTTTTCAGAGTGCACAGCCACTGACAGAGAGGGAAATAATTTATGGAGGTGAGGAGTAGTGGACAGCAAGATAACCAAAGAAAATTAGGCAAAACATCAGGCAGCACTTACTCAGAGATCCAGTCAAAACCAGAATGGCTCCTTTGAGAGATGTATCTCATGTTGTGCTAACATGGAAATCTTTTGAGAAAAATTCTACCATGTCATTTGGACTGTGGGCATTTATCTTGATGCCATGCTACAGCTCTGTTTTCTGCTTTTTAGAGCCATCTTTTTCATTGTATTCCTTAACAGGTGCCAAAGACAGTTCTCTGGCAGCACTGATTGCTTTACACATTTAAATATTTTACTAAAACATGTTACCATTACATGGTGATGACAGGGAAAACAGAGGAAAAGGATGTTTTAAAAAGAAAGAGAGAGGAACTTCAGAACTGATTGAAAACTGAGGCTGATTAGAGATCAACCAGTCTGAGTTCCAGTTTTTATCCTGTGTCCAGGGGTACCAGAGAACACAGAGCTCCAGCTGCCAGCATTGTATGAAGTCTCTGATAAATGCTGATAAACTGCAAGTTAACCTCTGAGGAGTGGGAGACCCACAACCCACACGTGGTTGATTACTTACCTTGATGTTTCTGACATGTGTCAGCAAGAAGTCTGAGGATGCAAAGGTAGGAATCAATACTAAAATACAAAGCAATAGATTCTTTTCCATTTTGGAAAAAAAGTGAGGTTCCAATTGGAATGATATGCATAAATATATAAAGCTTTGTTTACCCAGTGTTAATAAATAACCCAATGACAGAAGTGGGATTAAGCATTAGGCATTTGGGAAAAATCAGGTGCTGAATTTTGAATTAGTATAATCTACAGAATACTGTTAGAAAATCTCTTAAAGAATTTACAGAATATTTAAGCAGTGTCTCTTCTATGTAATAGCTCCAAACAGAAATTCACAGCCATTTCTGTACTGGCAACAGAGATTAATCTCCAACCCAGACCCACTTTTTTCCCAAATGAAAACTGTCATCTTTCTGATACTTCCTTAAAGGCTTTCCCTGGCTCAAATTTACTGCAGCCATAACAGAGCTTGCAGTCTGTGAAAGCCATTTAAGCTCCATTTCAAAAGCACCCCTGTAATTCTCTGTGTCACTCAGGTACCCGATTAAGGTACCGTTATTTGACATGTATCCTGTCTAACCTAGAAACTCCCCATTCCATGGGTTCCCATTCATCTTGGTGGCTGAAACCAGGTCCGAGCTCCCAGGTTTGCATCTTGCACGCTGACCGTGCAGCTGCAGGGCATTTCCTTTGTTTGTTACCTTGACATGATCAATTCTCTCTTAAACTTTTTAGCTGGTTCATTTCACGCGTTAATGAAAGACAGACTTCGAGGACTGGGGGTTACATGCTCAGTGATAACAAAACATTTTATTTTCTGTTTTTCCTGCAGCCAGTGTTACGACTGCAGACGCTCAGCCACGGTAGAGCTCCAGGAGGAGCTCTGAGGATTTTTTTACCAATTCTCCACCCCATCCAAAGGGACGGGACGGCTCTGCGGAGCTGCTGCGCCCTGCCACGGCTCATGACAGGTGGCGAGTTGTGGCACAACTGTGGCCGTCCTTGGCCCGGGCTCGGCACAGGGATGTCCCGGAGCAGCACACCCAGCCCACGCTTGACACGGGCCGGGGCGGGGACAGCGCTGTCCCGGGGCCGCGGCGAGGCCCGCCCCGCTGCCTCAGCCGCGCTGCCCGCTCTCAACATGGCCGCCCTGCCCGTTTCCAAAATGGCCGCCGCGGCGCCGCGCCCGCGCCGGGCAGCTGCGCGCCGGGCGCTGCATGGCCGCGGCCGCCCCGGGCATCTCTATGGCAGCGGGCGCTGCCCGGGCCCGGCGGCGGGAGGATGCCCCTGGCTGCCTACTGCTTCCTGCGGGCCGTGGGCAAGGGCAGCTACGGGGAGGTGAGCCTGGCGCGGCACCGCCAGGACCGCAAGCAGGTAGCGAGGGGCTGGGCCGCGGGGCAGGGGCACGGCTCGGCCTGCGGGCAGTGCCCGGGCTGGGCTGGGCGGGACGGGGGTCCCGCAGCGTCTGGTTCGGTTGTGACCCGCGCCCAGCTGTGGCTCGGCTGTCGCTGCTGGTCCTGACCCACCCTGGGCACAACCAGGGATGTGGCATCGTGTCGGGGTGCAGGTGTGACTACGGGCTGGTGTTAGTCAGGCTGTGACGATCACCTGGTCACAGGTGTCAGGCTGTTTTTGTGACTATTATCTGGTGTCAGAGTGGAGCTGTGACCATCACCAGGTGTCAGGGTGTTTTTGTGACCATTATCTGGTGTCGGAGTGGAGCTGTGACCATCACCAGGTGTTGGGGCAGGGCTGCAGCCACCCGAGCTGCTGTTTCTGTTCTCTTCCCTTGTCTAAAAGAACTTTTATTAAAGGTGTGGAGAAGACTCTTCCCGGGAAGGCTTTGGTTGTGTCAGAGTAGAAGCACAAGCATTTTTGTTGGAGAACTGGAATAATCTGTCTAGTCTGGCCAAAGCAGAGGTGTTCGATAGGGAATGTGAGAGGGCGGAAGAATGGGGACGGAGAACATTCAGAGAGCAGTGCCACAGGAACTGCTGTGTGAGTTTATGGTCGGGATTTTACTGGAGATGCTGGAGGAGGATTGTGCCCAGCAGGGAGCACAGGTGTGTCCTTCCCGGACTAGGGCAGTTTTTCCCTGCCTGGAATCCCGAGGTGAATCCCTGTGACCCTTGGCGTGGGTAGCAGTGAGGAAAGGACTTGTTCCCTCCAGGCCATCACCACGTGCACAGTCCAATGCCCTCAAAGAGATCCTAACCCCACCTCACCCCAAAAGTAAACAGTGCATGGAGGTCACTTTCACTCGGATACAGGTCCTTGGATTTCATTGTGGTGCTGCTGATCATTAACACTTAGCCTTTCTTCCTGTTTGTAGTTGCATGACAAATATTTGGAGTGCTTTACTGTGTTTTATCTTTTGCCAACTTTTACAAACTTTCTTCTCTAGCATGATGGTCAGGATTTTTTGTTCTGGCTTTGGCATAGTGCCACCTTTTCTGTGAAAGAAATAGTGTCTTATTTAACCATATTTGCTATTTACTGAATGCTGGATTTTTGTGGAGAAGGTCAAATAGCTTTAAGTGTTTAAAACAAAACTAAATGGAATTCATCTGCACTTTGGTGTCAAATAAGGTGGAAGAGCATTGAAATAGATTTGAGTAGAGAATCTTGCCAGGAAAACATGCTCATTAAACTAAATATAATCAATGCCAAATTTAAATAAGGCTAACATATGTGCTTTTTGCATTTTGGGGTGTATTTTTGTTTTTTCCATTTTGGTATGTATTTTCTAAAAGCTGCTGATATAAGCTTAAACGATTTCCATGCCCAAAGTTGTAGTTGACTTGTCACACAGACCACAGTAGTTGCAGCATTTCTATTTTATTTTGAAGTTAAGTAATGCTGTACACAATTACACACTCCTGGAAGCTTTGCAGCATCACAGGTTCTATCTGAAACGCAAAGTCATGACGTGCTGTGAGTTTCCTGGGTAATTGGTTCCCTTGATATATAGGGCCATCTCCTCAGCACTAATTAAATGTGCTGGGCTAATTAATAGATGCAGCCTGGAGAGCAGACACTGAAGCATCTCTGAGGATGCTAAAATTCAGCAAGTAAAAATATTTAAAAGTTTTGATTTACAATCCCTCCGATAAGAGCGGGTTCAAGTGTCACCATGACATGATTGTTCTGTGGAAAGCTGATGCCCTAAAGTGATGTCCTACAAAATTTTCATCAGGATTAGGGCCAGGTCAGACCTAAATATTGGTGTTGTGGGTGATGAAAGTGTTCTATGGATTTTATTGTCTCATCTTCAGCTTCATGAATGTTTTTGCTGAAACCTGAAATTCCTCAGAATTACGTTTAATGTAGTATATATTAAGGAAGTAGATGACAACTTTTGTATGTAGCTTTGAGGAATTCTTGACCCATCTTAATGAAGAATAAAAGAAATTTAGGAATGAGCATAAGACATTTTGTCTTATTCAGGTGACTTTTATCATTTGTTTGCTCATGACTGCATACTTTATTTGTATAAAAGTTTACTATTGATGTGGCCTTTTTGAGAGTAACTGTGGTGCACAAACAGGTACTTCAGGCTTAAAACATGAGTGACAGACACACATTTAAAGTGAGAGTGGGGAGAAAAAGAGAAATGTGAACATTAGTTAGAAGAAAGCAAAACACCACAAAATTCCTCAGCAGAGTTGTATTGAGGTGGATGAATGGAACACACCTGTTCCATTTTTATGGTGAAAAGGTAGAAGAGAAGAAGTTCTGGATAACTTTGATCCAAACTGCAGCCTCCATGTAGATGAATCAGTGGATATTTCAAATATTGCATTTCCTTTACGTCTGGGGAGTTCCCTAGGGCTTCTGCAGAGTCACTTTCATCTCTTACCATACACTTGGCCCTGTTTTTTACAGTATGTCATCAAAAAGTTAAACCTCAGAAGTGCTTCCAGCCGCGAGAGGAGAGCAGCAGAGCAGGAGGCCCAGTTGCTGTCCCAGCTGAGACACCCCAACATTGTCACCTACAGAGAGTCCTGGCAGGGGGACGATGGCCACCTCTACATTGTGATGGGCTTCTGTGAGGGAGGAGACCTCTACCACAAGCTCAAGGAGCAGAAGGGAAAACTCCTGCCTGAGAATCGGGTGGTGGAGTGGTTTGTGCAGATTGCCATGGCACTGCAGGTACAATGAAGTGGAATTTTGTCACTGCCAGATATAAACTTAATTTGACTTTTTGTGTATTTAAAAATTCCATCTAAGCTGCAGCCTTTGGATTCCTGTTTGGCTGGGTTAGCACCTAATTATAATAGTTATTAGTACATTAAAAATGGATCATTGCAGTCAAATCAACTATTTTAAGTAAGAAATTGCTGACATATTTTATGTCCACACCTCTGTAGCACAGTTGCCTTTGGGGTGTTTGCAACTCTTGTCTGATATGCTTCTCTGGTTTGAAAGTTTACATTAAATTTACAAAGTTGAGCTTTTGGGGGAAAAAAAAGCTATTCTTTCAGAAGAATTTTGTGTTCAGTCTTATTATTGCTGTTTTTAATGGTAAGTTTAATTTAGACTCCTAATTCATCATTTCTATTAAGCCTTATCCTACTCTTTTAAATTTGTAATTGGAGGTTATGAAACTTTAAAGGCAATTGTTACAGTAATAAAGACCAGATATAGATGTCAACACTAAAGAATAAGGAATTGGACAGAAAATTCTATTTTAAAGTTTGCTGTCATGGTCAAAAATAGACTAATTATGAGTACTGCTTGTTGTTTATTATGACTAATTTTCTTCCCTGTTTACACACTCACATTATAATTTCCTCTGAAATGTTTTTAGACTAAGATTGTCAAGAAATGAAAGCAGCAGAAAGTGAGTTATAGTCTTAACTTTACATTTTTATTTCTCCTTTTCTGCTGATTTATAAGGGCCATGCAGGGAGATTTAGTTAAAACAGTGCCAAGTGTTTGGGCCCCTGCCTGTATCAGTCACTTTTAATGTTACTTCACCACTATTGTCTTAGCAGGTTATTCCTGACCTTGAGAGGGATTTCTGTGTTTTTTCTGCTTTTGTGTTTTCTTTCTTTGATTTGTGTAATGAAATTTTACAGTTAAAAGTTGATT